AGGGAAGGGCCTAACGGCTGCTGGGCACACGATGCATGCATGGGAAACCACAAATTGCCTGGTATCATGACGCACTAGATGCGTGTTGTCTTATTTCCTGTGCGCTGTAAAAGTATTGCTTGTTATGGTTGTAGTCTATTTTGTCGCCGTTAAACTATTTATCCCCGATATCCTCAGATAGCATATGCCTTTCGCTCTTCACACAAAGTCTCAGCCGACAGTGAAGAAAAACACATTTTTTAAACCCACTCGCATAGCTTAGTATGCATAACACATACTTAAACTGCCGCATTTCACCAGCACACCCCAAAGAAACGAGAGGTCCCCTTCTGTCGGAAGAAAAATGGCTTGTAACGATTAGGATTAGTGAACACGAAACAAAACTGTGTGTTCTTCTACTTCAACCGACTTCATACGTGGACTGATGTCTCAAGAAGTCGTGTGTGCTAATACCTTTTTGGCAAACTGGGTGAATAATGATCGAGTTTAAACAACATGAGTGATCATGGTCTCAAATCTTAAGTGAGCATATTTTGTCGGCGCCCAAGCAATTTAAGGGACGGAGGAAAGTGAACCCGAGAAGGAGCTGAGGACAGGCAGTCGGATGCTAGTCTAAAGCACCATCAGGTCAAACCTCCGACTTGTGAAGGCCTTCCACAAAAGAATGCGATTAGCACCTAAACATTATTGCATTTTGTTTCCGACGTTCCTCCCGAGCACACGGGCGGAAGGTCAGATGTATTCTTTGTTCTAACTTGCGTGTAAAAGATCAGAACATACCGACCGAACTTCGCTTTCGTCCATCTCGTCCACAGTACTTTTCCGTTCCGCCTCCCTCAGGAGACTGTAGAGGTTGACCATCTTATCGTAATTGGGCTTCTCACCTGCCTTGGACATGACCATATCCATTTGTTGTTTGATATTTTCCAAAACAGTATTTGACTGTGGATCTTGCCCTAAAATTTGCCTGAATAGATATTGAAAGAATGGTTCTGAGATCATACTCTTAAATGTCCGGGTACGCAGTAACCACAGCCTCTTTTAGATTAGAAATTTTCAATGCCATTCTCCTATTCCAAAATGAAACAAAAATAAACCTCGAGTCTGTGTCTGAAGATTTGTCGGAGGAAAAGGTGCCTCATTAGTCCTTTAGAAGGATTCTGATATTCGATCACTGAATTCTCCAAGTTTCTTGGCAAATCAAAACTTAGCTCTAGAAACTAACTCGAATGTTTTACAAAAGCAGGCATGTTGTTTTAGTACTGACTGCGATACAACAGAGATTTTAGTTCTATTAATTCTGAACTCATCACAACCTTCTGAAACCTCGAGTTCTTCCCATATTTTTACGGCGTTTCTCGAGAAAGTTGAAGCAGAATTTGCGAAGGAGGACGTCGTGGGTGAGCTGGACGTGCAGCTGATGAACTGCATCACCGAAACCTCTGGGATAACTGTTTTGGATCTTTTTACTGGAAGATACTTCCTGTCTTCGAGCAAAGTCTGCATCCGAGGCTGAACTTGCAAGACGAGGCTCCGTTATCATTCGTTATCGGATGACTGAAGGTTCCCAATCACCTTACCACCAGTCCCGCACTCACGCAACTATTCGCACTTGTTAACTAATATTGTCTGAATTCTGAACCCTGAGACCTATGATCTATGTTAACATGAACAAAAATCACCGATCTCTACCAGGCGAGTCTCCAGTTCTTACTACTTGAACTATTTCCACTCACAGTTGGGTCGACTTGGATTTCACGTACGTGGGTGCCATGAAGGCCCGCATTAAGAGGAAGCCATTGCAACCTGATACTCGGCCCTTATTTTACTCTGAAATGATCCCACGGGGACCGCAGTCGGCAACCTTCTAAGCCACGACGCTTAGCGTGCCACAATAGATTTATGCGCGTGAGATTTACTATAGGGAAGAAAGCGCTTATTTGCCATTAGGATGGATTTCCCAGTATTGGCCTCGCTGCCTCCTTTATGACGCAATGTTTGATGCGGCATGAAGCCCAATGTCTGAGAGTTGTCGCACCCACACGCAAGTGCGGCAGTAGTCATGGCCTAGCGTGGAGTCAGCGTAGCCCGAAAAACGCGTGCCGCCTTCCAACCTGGCCCGCGTTTTGCCTAAATCATTTAGGGTGCTGCCCGTTATGGGGCCAATCTAGGTTCCGATAATACTTAGTAAACAAACTTTATTTATTTGAACAGTGCTTTAGTATTTTGTATACTCATTCAGCGGAGCATTTAGAATTGTTGAACGGAGCCTTCTAGTCAGCAGCCATAGCGAAAATGTTTCTAATAAAATGAGAACCAATAAGTTTTTTCTTCAGCCAAAAATTACCAATATCTGTCACGGAAGTACATAGGTAGGCTAAATGTTTCCAAGTATTCTTCGCCTTTACTTTTGGTAAAATGAAGGACGTAATCATTCAGCAACAAATTGCCTCAATGAGGCAGTTTTTGTAAAATTATTTTTCAGCTAATTAAAAGCATAGTCATTTCAGACTTTTGCTGTGGACGTTCGTTTTTTCGTCGATTGTGTTTTATCTTTGGGTGAATCTAAAAATGTGGTCCAAACCGCCATATGCAAAACGAGGGACTCCATATCTCACTGCATACACAAATTTTCCAAATAATTATTTTTTGAGGATTTAATAGACTGAGATATTTAAAACCGTAAAGCATTCACTACACTTTTAAGGATGTCCCTAGGAACAACGGACTCTGTCGCTACCAAAAGCCACAGTAATGCCGGGTGAGAAAAACCTTCCTGATGCCCACTGCAACTGCCCATTATATTGCAGTTTTTCAAACCCTGAGCGACCTTCTGACATGTGACCTGCTCCAAGTTTCTAGTTCTGTAACTTCCCTGTGCGAAAAATCAGAGAAAATCATCTTTTTATAATCAACCGCATCCCGAGAAATTCAATAACGGAAAAAGTACGTCGAATTCTCGTGATACCACTTTAAAGTACATTATCAAACATCAGGTAGTTGACTGGCTGGCATACACTAATTCACAGAGAACGTTTGCACTGATAGTTGTTTACAGGTGTTATTTTAAAAATTAACAAGTTGTTATATCTATCCACTCGTTTGTGTAGACGGAAAACATGTGGTGCGCCATACTATGAAATGTTGCGTGAGGTTTTGAAGTATATTTTCAATTAGAAAAGACTTCTTAAGACGAGCTGTGGTATTAATTGTCATACAGCCTACTTGTAGGATATTTCGTTCACGTCAGGCTGCCGGCTTTTGCCGAGCTCTTTTCCGGCCGCCTGCATAAGCTACATTGAAATAAAAGACTACTTGATTGGTATGTATTTTTCGCATTGAGCTCCGATGCCCATATGTATTCAAATTCAAGAGCATTCTTGCTTCTACTTATTTAGTGACAGATTACGTCTTCATTAAGCTTTATATCTGGAGGAAAAATATCTTCCAGTTTTGAAAATTTAAATTATACTTTTTTGAGACCGCGCAATGTTCAGTAATACAGCATCGTACTAACACGTTTAGTACTGATAAAAAGTGGAAAACATGGTCCACATTAATTGCAAAATTTTATGAGCCTTGTATAGAATCTTCTTACTGGCGTACAGAAAAGCACAATTTTCATTACAGGGAAAGTACGTAGTCTGTAGTTTGGAGAAACTGCATACAAGTGTAACGGCAGGTGGTGTTCGAAGTTATTCGGAAAGTGAAACGTCTTTATAACAAGACGATACTTTTCTTCAAGCTGAAACATTTAATGAGAGGTAATATTCTACCAAGTGAGTGCAAAAAAAGAATGTTTTTGTGCATATTTTCTATAAAATCTATTCGGGGTTTATATGCGAATCCAAAAACAATGTGAAAAATGCACACTAATCAAGTTATCATTGTTCACAGTGAGGTTTTTTGCAGGCGATCGAAAAGAGGCTCGTTTAAAAGCTAGAATCCCGACGTGGCTGAAGTGTCTTGGGATTACGCCATACGATAATTACTATCAGAACTATACTTGAGTACCCTTTCGAATCCAAGACACATTTCGGAATTTCAATCGATATTTCAGGCGATGCACATTTACTGTACTTTTAGCATTCATGTTTACTCGTCTGACATGAACGTTCGTGTCTTTGGCATTTCCACTTTTTTGAGACAATTTTCATTTTTAACTAATGCAATACTGGTTTGACTGTTGTCTTTATATTTCCGGTATCTGGCAGTTACTCTGTCCCCAAATCGCTCATTCTGCCTCCATGCTGGAATTCGTTTTCCTAGAATTCGTTAACTCCCTTATCACATTCGGCATTCACGTTCCTAACATGCCTCTGAGTACTTTTTCTGGCCATTTTTTTCAGATACCTGCATTTTTTCACTTATCTCCTTTCGTCTTTCCATCACTTTTCTAACTTTGCACAAAACGAACGAACTCTTTTAAGAGTTGTCTTTTGAATACTTTTTTTCTGCTACCAGTGTTTTTTTGCCTCTTGGGTGGATATCACACTACAGCATTTCATAACGGTCAGGCAGTTTGCTGGTAGAATGCTGGATGCTGTTGTCCAGCGCCTCCATCTCATCAATCTTCGCGAAGTTCTTCCACCCCGTGCGCCTTGACCTCTGCCATATCTTTTGCCGTACAGCGGCATTATCAACGTTCCATATTGAAAAGTTGGCACGATAGGTTACGTGCAAATAGACTGAAATACAGAAATTGACACTGTAGCTGTCCCCACAATAGTTAAACATTTTCATGTAAACCCATATACTCTGTTGTTATTTATCTGTTTGTATTCTGAAGGGCGTTTCTGTCAAAAATTCAGAACGGTACTTTCAAAATAAAGCATATTTTGCTATCTCATTTAATTTAATATAGCCCATTATTAATAGGGGGTTTTAGTTTGTGTTCGGATTAATTTCCATTTGAACAGAAACTTTTCGTGAAATTACGGAGCTAATAATATGAATTAAATTCAAGTTTAGGTGATAGAAAAACTACAACAAAATAATTGCTAGACTAACGTTCCCTGCAGTTGCTGAAATTCCTTCGCTATCTCTGCGAACTCGGGATTTTGCAAAGCCTCCTTGATTTGATCGATAGTTAGTGGATGCATGGCACTGCCCTCCTCACCACTGGCCATACCAAGTTGATGCTGCATCTTTTCAAGCAGCTTGCGTGTCTTCTGACGTCGTTCTAGCATCTCTGGCGAGATGAACGCTACTTCTTTAGCCTTGCGCTTGATGGCATGTACAAGTTTGTTGGCGGGTATCAGCTTTTCCGCTCGGAACTTTGAGAAAGCGATCTTCCCTATTGAAACTTCCTGTACGTCAGAATGGGTGCGTGTCTCTGCGTTCTCTACCATTTCCCCGTCATCTACCTGCTCATATTTCACTGCACTCTCTTCGGTCAGAACTTTTCGTTCCATACTTGTCAGTTGCTTTGATTCATCGGCACTGCTGTCTCTTCGGAAAATCTTCCCCCGATCGTCCCTATTCTTGGCTGAGGTTGCTGGAGTCTGTTCTTCTTCACTTTCCGCACTCACTACCACTTTCTCCACAACATCCTTTCCTACTTTTGGAGTTCTGCCCACGGTCCGTACCAGCGGCTGCCAGAGACGAACCTGCACTGCTGGCAGAGCTTGTGGTTGATTCGTAACGGTGCGCGGAGCTGCTGCCCTCGGACCGAAGCCGCTGGGGTAGTAACCGCCTGCACTCTGGGTTCTATGATGCAGTCCGTGACGGTAACCAATGACTCCACCCTCATCATCGTAATCGTGGAAAAACTGTGAGCTCCTACGGCCACGTCGGACGCCAACTTGACGCTCCTGAACTGCATGCTCGTATCGATCATACTGTAAGCCCTCCTGTTTTCGTCTTTTGCCTTTTTTGCCGCTGGCGTCCAAGTCATAGTAGTAGCTGCCGTCCTCATCCTCCCCGGGTCGCTGTTTGCGTCTTCCCCTACCACGCTCCTCCATAGAATCATCATCGTCTGACCTGCCCCCTCGTCTTCTTCTGCCTCTTCGATGACGACCACCATCTTCCTCTCGGTCATCATGATCATCATCTTCGTCCTCATCTGACCAGCGCCTTCGTCCACCGCGGCGGTGGTGACGTCTGCGATCATCATACCCTTCCTCCTCTTCTCCCCCCTCATCATCTTGCCTTCGACGATGACGGTGGCGTCGACGGTGTCGTCCACGACCTTGGTCCTCATCCTCCTCGTCGTCATCGTAGTCCTCGTCCTCCCTTCTTCCGTGTCGATGGCGTCGTCGGCGGCTGCGACCTTGGCTCACATCATCGTCATCTTCACTGTATTCGTCGTCATAGCTGTCCTCGTCACTTCCGTAATACTGTCCCGATCTGTCTCTTTCTCTTGCTTCACGAGCCAGCCGCCTGGAATGTACATCGACGGCCAAGCCCTCGTTCAGTTTGTCGAGGTATGCATCATCATCGGAGGAAGAAGATGTATCAGAGTCGTGACCGCGCCTCTTTCTGCGTGGCCGCCCATCCCTGACCTTGAATTCAGCGCCCGAGTCTCTGTCTTTGCTGGAGGCGTCCGACCGAGAAGTTGCTGTCGATGAGTAAGAAGCTGAGGATGAGGAGGATGCACGCTCTCGCTGTCGTCGTTCCATCGCAGCCTTCGCCCTTGCTGCCATGGCCTCCTCAACCTTCGCCCGCATACGGTCGGCTTTCACCTTGTTCTTGAGCTCTTCCACTTCCTCGGGAGACATCTCAGCAAGCTCTTCGGGTGTCTGAAATTAACAAAGATAAACCAACAGAGTAACCAGAAAAGCTTCAGAACATTGCCGGGTCCAACGCGAGAATATGGTCTAAAGTATCACTGGAAAAACGGAGGACATATTCTGGATCTTAATAACACACCCTGAATTACTTGTTCAAGTCGACATTTTGGAAATTTAGGTAAAATTGCATCAAGCATGCTGAACCATCTGCGTGAGTAGTTAAAGATGCAAGTCTACGAATTTGCTAGCCATTTTAGTTGAAAACTCCACTTTAATTGAACTGAAAGTAGAACATTCAAAAAGGGCATCGTATACTTTATGAAACATGTGAACGCCCATCCTAAGATATCTTTAGTAACATGAAAGCAAATGTTTTGAAATAACTCAGTTTCCCGCAGTAACTTAAAGCACCTTGGAGACTAAAAAAGTAATTTTTAGTTTTGGATTTTTGATTTGGGGGAATAATGGGGCCAAGGAAACCACTCTTAGATGCATTACAAGGCAAGACATTAAAGAACATCAGGGTGCGATAAGAGGCCATTGTAAACTAAAGTTCACGGCACTTGTTTTGTACGAACTGATGTTAGATGGTTTGGCGTTGTCTTCCATCAAAGGGCATTTTAAGTGGCAAAATAGTTGACAATTTCTACCGAGTATAACCTGTTTATCATGCATATAAAAGTCTTTACTATAATAAATAAAATGAAGACTTGGCGAATCCCATACTACGGATTCACCGTCCCGAGCAGATCCTAAGGCACGAACATCTGTCACTAGAATCCAGATTAGTAGGCATTGAGATTCAGCCTTTAAATACCTAGTAAATTCACTCCTCTGTGCGTGCAAAAGGTCATATGTGAACGGACGAATTTTCAGACAGCGATTTGAGCATGGTTCGGATTACTGTACATTGAATAAATGGATCAAAGTAGAGGACACTTAGGGTGTTCGACTGCCACTGATCAAGTAGCGTTCTTACTGACGTTTTACGGGTCCATCCTGTTCTAAAAAATTAGAAATGTGCGACTGTCAGAGATACGCAAAGAAGTTGGAATTTAATGCATTCTTATCTTATAGAGATTACACCAGGGAGAAGGCAGGTCTCGGAGAAGGTAATTACATGCGGGTGGCTGGCTTGGTGGCTTTGACACATGGCAACTGTGGGACCTCTATGAAGTTCTTCTGTGCGCATAGGACCGATAAGCAGAGCTTATGTTTCGATGCAAATCCTATGCCTTACCTAAAATACGAAGTGCTTAAACTGGAGAAAGTGCTTAAATTTCAGCAAAATGCGAGTTCGAAAAATGTGAAATGTTTGCTTATGTTTTCGCATTGATTGTAATAGCCAGCCACTAGGTATTACCCGGGGACTACTCGGCGTGTCATCAAGTTGCGAGTGCCCTTTTGTGAATTACCTGTTCTGTTTTGCCGAAATCTTAAAGATTTCGGCAAAATTTCCGTTACTGAGGCCTCCCTTTATAGCAAATAGTCGTGGAACTAATCTTTTGGGATATTTCTCGATGTCTTCATTTCTATTTTTTGTTTACCTTGACCTAAACCTGCCTTAAAAACTTTCTGGTCCACTTCCCGGCCACCTGAGTAAGAGCCCAGAGTTCAGATTTTGCTGAAAACATGGAATTTGAAAGAATATAATTACTTGAAGGATGGTAAAAAGCACAAGAGGACATTTGACCTACAGAACACAGAAACTTCAGAAATGCTGAAATAAGGCTTTAGTTATACAATCAAACATACAAGGCTCACATATCTCGAACTGTAAAGGGTATAAGACAAAGACGTGTTTTAGTTAGCGTGCGCACAGTGAAATGATAATTTCTTTTTCAGAAGTTTCTCAGCTATTTGTCGGCCGCTCATTGGAGAAGACATTACAGGCTCAGAAAGTTTTCAGAATTTGTACGGACAGGTGATTACACGAGAAAATAGCGACAAGGATTGGCCGCTTACAGCCACTTAGTAGGAGGTGACGTTTTTCTGGATATTTCGTTTAAAAGCAATACAATTATTGTTGTTGTTCGAAAGTTGTGCTCACTTTCAAAAGCGTGACCTCCCAGTTTACAGGACATCCATTGTCTCAAAATGCCAGATGGGCTTGCTAATATTTAACCGTTCTATAAACCCTCCATCGTGTCGTGAAGATGCATTAGAAGACTCATAAATCAGCTGGAGTAATTATGGGCAAGTAGCCCAGTTTGTATACAGGCTCAGGAAGAAGATTCAGGGGACTCCCTCTACATTGGAACATCTCCATTTTGCACAGTGTAGTTCTTGTAGATACGAACTTTGCCGCTTAAGGGATTGAACGTGACGAGGTCCGTCATGAGAACTTTACCTCATTTTTCCACAGTAATTTCAAATGAAACACAACCCTTCGGTTATAAAACCCGGCTACAAAGTGTTAAAATACTTCGATCAGAATTTGATGAGTTCCTATGCGTGCTGCAGGAAGTAAAGAGAATCCTGTTCATGTTCTTGACATTACTGAAGTTTTGCACATATGGATACGTGCACATAAAATTGAAAAATTGCGGAGGGGGAAATTGAGAATCTTGAAAACTTGGAAGACCGGAACCGCATGGAGTGGATAAGAATATTTAAACAAGGTACGCAACTGAAAGTTGGCTTGTATAATGATCAAATTCTTATTCCTCCTACAAATATGCCAAATCCATAGAATTGTTTTTAACAGCAAATTAGGACTTCAGAGCAACATACTCGTAGGATACATCGAAGGTATTTACTGCGTGTGCACATGATATCTTCATAATATCCATAATTTTGAGAAAAAACCGTGCCCCCGACTAAGCCGAAATTACAGACCATCGATCCCATGGAGTCGTAAAGTCACTTTGTATGATGCGTGATTTTACGGCAGAAAATTCACACACACAGTCAGAATATGCGCTTCGAGATGAGACCAGTTTGTCGACCACCAGGTTTAGCACTACATGGTCCAGTAGAATGTTTACTTCAATTAAACATGCTGGCTCTAAAAAGAATTCAATGTTCCCTCCTTTTTGACATAAATAGCGAGTGTATTTCTAGTATGAATAACGTATCGGTCTCCTCTCAGCGAAATCTGTCTGACTGTCCGGGTTCTCCACTCCCCATCGTCCTTAGAAATGCTATAACTTAATGAAACCTTTATCCTGACCTCTGTAAAACCGTGATGAATAACAAAAACTCATAAGCCGAAATTTGGCTCTCAGATCTGCCGCCTCTTTTATGATAGCGGGCGGCATAGTCTGAAGGGAGAACCCACCTTGCCCAGAGTATCCTCGGGGATCTCCTCGTCCTCTGCAGGCAGCCCGAGTTGTTCCAGTGTCGTTTTCAATATTTCCAAAACTCTCTGGGTCGGTTCTCTGTCTGTGCGATCGAGATCCATAGCTTGGAAGTCAGACGTACGTTTTTTGTAAATGCTGTTTAGCTTTTCGAGGAGCTGCAGAACAACATCTGTGCTCACACGTCCTTTCCTGAAAATTAAAATACGATGAAAAGGCGATATGATTTTGTGACACAATATGATATTCCTGACGCTTTGGGTTAACATGCACATCATCGTGCATCATAATTATGTCTTGTTTTGTGTAATTTGACGTTTTCCGTCTAGGGCGATGACACACCCCAGGCAAAGTAACGTACAGACCTTCTGCATGTGCACTATGGATGTCAAGTCACTAGATTCTGGCAACAAGGCTGCTCCTAAGGGGTCGGTACAGGAGCCGTCTGTCTTTCTTCCATGCCTGACTTTTGTAGACGCATTGAAATATAATGATAAAAATCAGAACCATTTTGATATCCAAGAAGATTTCGCTCAAGTGTTCATATGAAATAATTAAGGAGATTTAGCAGTGAATGCTCAGAAATCTCAGTTTCTCTATATGAACGTAGAAATGTATCTGCACGTAGCAATGGGTGGCGAAATTATACCGCTAGCCGAATTGGCTGTTGACCGGAGAACATTGACCAATCACCATCGGGACATAGTAACAGCTAAGAGACTTTGTTATACGTGCTATCTTTAATAGCACTTCTTAAAGTTCCCTAAGCCACAAGAGAGTGCAAGAACCAACGGACGAGTTTTTCAGAAAGCAATGTATGTAGTTGGAAATAGTCATCTAGAAAACTACTGCTAACGCGCGCATACCTATCCGCACGATGACTTTATAGCCCATGGATGTGAGACTGAGGTACTACATACGATCCACCCGCTCTGCATTTATGACTTGTTGACATTATTTGAAAATCAAAGTTGATGCTAAGGTTAGAAATTTTGGCAACGGTATAGAGAAGGACCCCACTTAACTGTCAGTAGACTGTGGATCGGGAAATACGTGATTTATGCTTAAGGGAGTTTTATGGGTGGGGCAGCACGCTAGACAGCGAACTGACAAAATGAACGAAAACACGGAAATTGCCTGAATTTATGCCGAAAGTCTTATCCTACGTTATTGTACGACAACGGAAATGAGAATACTAATTAAACAATAAACAAAAGCAAATTTCACAAACTAACGGATTTTGAGTTAAGGTGTGGGGTCGCGGAAAGTAATCTTTGTCGGCAGTGTAATTTCCGCAACAGCCTGCAAATGCACGCCAAGACAAAACCCCATATGACCCGATCCACAGTCCACTGACAGGTGGGGTCCTTCGCTATACCTTTGACAAAATTTTGTCGAGCTGATTTGCTAAACTAGACTGTTTTCAACATTAACCATTTACTGTTGTCCCTTTTGCTGCTGTTTTACCGTTACTTTTTGGTTTCCATCTGTTTTATATGCCAATTTTATTGAATACCCACGTTTTATTACTCCGTTTTTGTCCATTTTACTTTTCCTACAATCTCTCCTTCATAGTCTGTTGTTTTAACTGCTACATGCCCCATCTCCTTACTATTGCCAAGCATTCCACTGAACTCCACACTGTTTAGCGAAGTTCGTTAACCATATAGGTTCTTACAGAGAAACGAAAAGTACATCGAAGTGGGTGGATTTTCCGGTGAAGTCTAGGGTCTGTGTAAAATTTTGGAAGCCTAAGCTACTGAAATGGATGTCAGTTGGTTGGTGTGAGGATGGCGTCAATCCGCGTTTAATGGTCTTGCCGATCATCTGACCCTTAACTGACTCGTAGACAAGGTGCATTGGGAGTCATCTTCAAATTTCAGTGTGTCTTACAAAGTCCTCATCTGGTCGAGCTGAAGATGCGGCGCCCAATATAAACCACTCGAGCATAGAGGCACTTAGTTGTTGACTCCCTTCTGGAAATCTGCCCTAGACAGCCTTTTGATGGGCCGATTGGTTCTCCCCAGAATTAACACTCAGGATGTCCGGCCACAGCGCGCAAGTTTGGCATTGAGGTCTAACCTTTGCCTGTGTTAACTCATTTGAGTTCACAGTTTCCGTTTGGTTTATATAATATGGGCAATATACCAATCTCTGTAGTAGATCCCGCAGGCCACGGTTGTCATTTCCTCATGCGACCCCGGATTGTTTGGTTAAATCTCACGACCCGGGAATGGAGATCATCAGATGACCTATCAAACTGTCCTGATATGCAATTAGCCTCGACTATCACCAGTCATTGCCACGACTACGCCTGTCAAACCCAGACAAACGAAATCCAATTATGCAATTGGAAACGACTTACTTTTATTTCTTAACTCGTTTATGACGACTAGTAGTGGGTCAGAATGTTGGCAATCGCCAGTTTTTCAACTAGTCTTTTCTGATTATCAGTCCGTCAAGCTCATTTGGAAGCTACCCCTATAGCTGAGGCTTTCTCAAATATCAAGTTTTGGCCAGATGTGGTTATATAGCCGCACCTGAGATAAACAGACCGCACTCACCTGTAATACGGGACCGGTGGTGATAGCGGTTTTTACAGGTGGGGCCGAGGAATGCAAAGGCGACGATGTCAAGAAATTATATGCCAAAGGAAAAGCTACTGGGAATGCGAGGTTGCACTTTGAGTGGGTTGAAAAATAGTTGCCCTATCCCCTAACGCTTACCGCTAACTCTAACCCCTAGCCATAACCCCTGACCAAAACCCCCAACCTTAGCCCCTAACCTTAACTCCTAACCACCTAACCCTAAACCTAAGTCTTAACCGCAGCCGTAAACGCTAACCCTGGGACATCCAACGCGAAAGTTAGAAGGAGACGACAAGCTGAAAGTCAAGAAGGACCACCGGCATTGAGCCAAAAAAGGTAGACACTGCAACAAATAAACAAGACCGCAAACGGGATACGCACCGCAGCACACAACAACATCATGCCAACGTAAGTACAAAAATTCAAACTAATTAAGTAGGTCAACAGTAATGTGTCCTTCAGGTGCGGCTACATAACCACATCTTACCCTGATTCCTCCCGGAGATTCATAGACCAATAGTACTAGACCGATTTTCGGCAAAAATAAATTATCAGTCGCCGTGTCGTTGGCAGCTGTAGTCGTTGGCCAAGACTGCACCCTCTAGTTAATAATAAGGACTCCGCTCTCTGTTCCTGCTTTCGTTTTCCAAAGCGACTTGACAGGCTTATTCTGTGCAAAGTATACTTAGCCCTAGCAAGTAACCCTTAGCAAAAAGATACGGAGCTACTTTCCTCGACACCGCTAGTCAGATCGGCTTGCGTGCATTTCAGTACTATTAAAACCCGATTCCTTCTTGACGGTGAGTAAATGATAGAGAGGTACTGTTGGAACCCCTGTTTTGCAGTGCTGCCACCTTCCAGATCTGGACACTCCTGTTAACCACGAACATCGTATGTGCTTAAATGTACATTCAGCGTTGTTTGTCTGAGATATTACGACTGATGGAAACATTAATAAGTCTAAAAACCTATTGCCTAAGTACTCACTATCTTTGCCAGTCCCAAATCCGACACCTGCTCAGCTGATAACTTTTCAGTTTACCAGCTGATTGCAGTTTGCTATTTCCTCAGTCAGCAGCAGGGAATATTTTCGTTGCGGTGTTAATCGACATGGTGTGCGTCGGCTCAGGTAATCACTACTTGAGGTTGAGATTGATGTGGCCGATAAGGGAAAATAAGCCAAAGATGATTCCAGCCTCCCTTCTCCTTAATCCCCTTGTATCAGCAATTGAATGCCGTGTTACGACACCAGTGATTGCCGCAGCTTGGACTTGCAATGCAAAATGGGACTGGTATAGACCATCCTTTAGAAAAATGACTAGTGAAGCATCATTCCCAGGGACTTTGTCAAAGACGAACGACACTGAAATGGTTACTTCTGGGTCATTTTCTGTCACCAAACAATCTTACATCGTGTCTAGGTTGAAACGACCAGCAATTAGAACCCTGATCCATCTGACGGCTGAAAATGTATGTCAAATGCTTTGCCGCCTGAGTCACGGATTTATTCACTGGGAACTGCGTTCGGCACCATTCAAAATCACTTGGAAAAAACGTCCAATCAGGGCAAACTGGGTTGACATTTTGATGGCAGGTACGTGGTTCATAGAATAAGTAAAAACAGTCGTGCCCTTTAATGGAGAAAAGTGACTTTTTCTTCAATGGTTTTAGAGAAAATCTACAAGTGATCATCCTACGCTAAGTGTGCAAACAAATCGATGATTAGTTGACGTTACTCAGTGTTTGTGCACACTCCTATATACGCTTCGGGAAAATCATTATCCATAATTTCACAGCTTTCGCAATCCCTAAAAAGATGTTCTCATGAACATGGAAAATAAAAGGTGAGTATTGTCATTTAAAATCCCAGAATGTCAGCATACTCTAAAAACATCTGTCAACCCTAATACCTACATATGGGCCCCGTCTCTTTCCAAGAGATCTGCTTATGAACACTTATCCTTACTTAAACGGTGAGTCCCATATACGCATTTTACTAAATATTGATTTCGTGTGCATTATCTTAATTGAATTTTCCCATTTTAACATCGATGAACACAGTTAAATAATATGTCTGAAGCTTTAATCCACGTATATCTCGGGAGACTTACGCAACAGTTCGTTTTTTTGAGGAATAAATTGTTAAAGTGTAAAAACTCACTTTTTTAGAAGAGGATCATCTATAAACAGAAGAGTTTACGCACACTCACGTTTGCTGAAATTATTACTGTTTGTATGTATCAATAACCACATACATCTGGCTTAAGACTTGAGAATATATGGATTCACTGTGCAACTACCAATGAAACGTCGGAGGTCGTTGTAAAGAAATTTCGTTAATGAGTAATCGCCTTAAGTTAGAATGATTGTGAGGAAACATCAGCGCACAGTTGTTAAAGTGAATGTATGAGCGGGATGGGGGTAGGAAAATCAAAACGAAGCACTAGCACTCTAATGATCCGAAAAGAAAATGAATGTTACAACAAAGAAGGGATTATATATGTCCCAGCAAATCTCTATTTTCCTAAGTTGAAAGGAATGCCAGAGGAATGTCGCATCTTTTCGATACTGACTCTGTTAATCCAGTTTCAACCTAGGTTCATTAGGCCCAGTGATGGGGAGATTTCAAAAACTTTAACCAGCTACGTTGTTCTTAAAATTCAAATAAGTTAAAGTTTTTGGCAATGGCTGTTGATGTTTTAGTCGCTGCCTATGATTATTCAAAAAGCAATTATGTATTAGATAGACGGGATTATTTATTTGGAATCAAACGACAGATTGCCTGCTCTAGTCCATACTGAACGCTAAACGAAATTCAGGATTATGAACAAGTTACAAATCTACTCATGAAATGCGGCGCAGTTTGGGCTCCGTAGGTTTTCGACTTGATTTGGAAATCTTAACACCTAGTCTAGATTTAGTATTGCAGGTTACGGGCCATCGACTCTCTGTTTATAATAGGAGGCATGAACTTTCAGAGAAAACGCCCATCCATTAAAAAAGGAAGCGGTCTTAAGCAGAGATTCCGTGTCCAAAGGTTTAGTTTTTTAAAGCCGTAGCGTGATTTGCAAAATCATAATGGTGAAGGCTAGTAGACAAACAATGCAAACTTATCTAAGCAAAAATGACGAATAACAAAATATCGCTTCAGAATGTATTTTCTTTCAAACGAAATAGTCTCTGTGCTATATAGACATCATTGGGAGTATCCCAACATACATAATCATGAACTGCATTCCACATTTATTGAATTTTAAATAACCGACGTCCTACTCCATCAGAAGACATGTTTAATGATACGTGTCAGTGCACCTGGACAGCGCAGGCATTAGAAAGTGTCGGATATCAGAGATTGTAAATAAAACTTTAGCGTTCTTCACCCATAAAAGCTGGGGTAGATAACGGTTGTAGGAATCCCCCTAAACCACACTTTACGTTGTCCCCAAGCCCATACAGATAAGGATTGGGGCTAAGCTTAGGGTTAAGGTTAAGTTTGAGATAAAAGTACGGGTTAGAGTTGGTTAGGAAACAAGAGTAGATATCGTCCATGGAATTTGGCGCAAGGCCACCTGTGCTACTAGGGGTTCTTATTTCCGTGTCTTATCTAACTTGTTTCTAACTGCCAAACTACTACAAGTTAAAATTGATAGTCTCTAATTACACTAACTTCGGAATACTCTGTCACTGCTGCAGTGCAACCGTTCTCCACCAGGTCTATTTGAAAATTGGGGGGCTTAACCAGTGGATAGAGCTCTCTGTGCGATGCAGAACGTAGGAGTTTATTTGCGCACCAGAAGGCCTGCCAAACGCAACTTCGATAAAAAAAAAACCAATAAATAATCTAAGCTGATAAAAAACCAAAAACTTCGGACAAAATATAAGGGTGATAATGTCAAACTAATGATACCCCACAATGTTTAGCAGCTTTTCCATGGCCTTTGATACGATTTCAGGGGAAGTTTCACCTGCAGCAATGTTCAGCAGTTCATCTAACGAGACCTCGTCCTGCTTCGCCGCTTCTTCACGGCTCACCTGTAGAAATAAAACAATGACAACGACTGTGTTTTTGGAAATAACCATTTGCCAGGAGTTTACTTGGAACTAAATAGCTGCTAGATAGTACAGATTATTTTTTTTCGTAACAAACATTAGAAGTGAGTTCACATCATTTGTTAGGACATCATTTTTGTCGTCCGCCTGCCACGACCGATTGGCATTCGCCAACCTGCAGGTCGGTTTCGCGTACAAAGCCCGCGCGCGAGTCAGAAATTATCGCACCGCCGAGCTATGCACTACCTTCAGGGGCCGACAGCGCGCGGGAGTCTACCCATGCGGACACCCGGAGCTCAACCAATGGGAACACGCGAGTCACATAACACTTAGCTACGACGTGATTGTGGCGGGCAGATATGAAAGAGTGGGACCCTTTTGTTTTAATAATTGGTATCGGTCGAAGTGAGTCGTAGGAGTTTTGAGTGAGCCTGTTTCCTTTACTCTTTTCATTCAGGGCGTGTGAAGAAGCTGAGCCCCCTTCCCCGGTGACTGTCCCCAACTCCACACGCTCTGGACAACCGTGAGGACAATGTTGTTCTGAACCAACTGATTCGCCTTCTCCTGTGTGTGTGAGACTGACTCTAGTTCTCGTAATAAACAATTGTCTCCCTATCACTTCCTTTATCGTGAGACTGGACTATTCGGTTTGTGATGAATCCCATACGAAGGATAGCCCAAAAGAGAAAGACGTGCAGGACCAGGATATAACACCTCAGACATCCTACGAAGATGCAGGCGAGCCAGTGATCTCGTAGCCCACTTCGAGGCCAGATATTACATGATGAACACTAGGAGCATGGGCTGCTTTACATAAGGTGACGGTTGCTGTAAAGTTGTTCTCTGTCGCGCGTTCTGCAGCTGTAGTCATCGCTGGCGATGGACTTCTGCACGAGTTTAGAAACTCAAGAAAATAGACAAATGATACCGGTGCTCGACCAGTCTCCCTATTCCTTACTCGGCGAAAAATCTTTATGGAAAGATTCAAGCGGATTTGGCAATTAGCGTCTTCTTCAATAAGCATGTATTGAGTAAATCACAGATTCCTACTATTTCTGTAGCCATTTACGAAATTTGTACATATTCACGCGACTGACAGACCCAACTCCGAACCCGACCTACATAATCCATCCTTTCTTGAATTATGTCTCATCAACTTTGTCATTCTGTTCTTATGGAACTGACGATTGAATGATATTCAACTACATCAGCCCTACTTTTTCAGACAGAGATGTTGCTCTCCGATTTTGCGAGGACTAACCCGTTTGACCTCAAAATAGTATGTTAAAACGCATTGCCATTTTCTAGTTTCAGACAAGCAGTAAAGTTCAGCAAACCAATTTCGAAGCAACGACAATTCAGAAACACGCTTAAATCTACTTTTGCATAAACAAATAATCAGCGAAATAAAGTCACTAGGATGAAGACGTGATTTGTGACTCGAATTGCATTTTTACACTGTTATGAACAAAATTTTGAATTGTAAAGTTGCGCAGAAAGACAGACATCTAGAAAACACAATCGGCAAAAGTCGACTTGAAACTAGATAAATTCCTAAAGAAACAAACATTTACTATGCAGTCGCACGTACAGCAATAACGTATGCACTCTAAATTGTACACTTACATGCTTGTGTTTTCTGCTCCCAGTGTGCTCTAAAAGGAAGAAATGTCAAATAACACGATCACCACTACTGCTACAGATACCGGCGGTCCGCATATCATTATAGATGAAAAACACCACAATGCCGCGGTGATAGCTAATGTGCCACTTTGTCTATGGTGCGGGTAGGTAGGTAAAACATCTATCCGGTTATCTCTTCCTACGCTCGTCTTATTATAGGGGCAATTCAAGATCAGACAAATGGGATGGGCGTGGTCGCTGAGACCCCAGTTTGCGAATCCTATGTCTGTGCGTGTTACATCCATGCGGGTCCTTCACGTCCTCTGGACCTGTAGCAATATTCAATGTTTGAAGCCTGGGTGACGGAAGCCATACTCGCCTATGAGCACCCATTGGCATCCAAGAGTGATTGGCTCGGCTGCACAATCCCTAGAGTCACTCAACAACATAGCCCGGAATTTGTGAGGCACCAACCTACTGCGTTAATCAACTCCTAGCTAGAAACGATATCTGATAGGTGCGGTAAAACCAATGTTCTGGAGCGCATCTTCAATGACTTCATTAACCGTGACGTTCCGTCTTTCTACCCACAGTATTTTCAGATATCGAATAGGTTTTCAAGCAATAACTGTCCTTTCATTATGTTTTAGTACTTCTTGAAGCTTGTTTTTAGATAATGAATGGATTTCGATTGAAGGCATGCGACCTTAAAATCCTCAAAGCAATTTACGAATCCAACCGCATGACCGCCGCCAAAGTTAAATGCGAAGCTCCCATATCGCAACTGCCCAAGCTTCTCAACAACAACGTTCAACCGCTTCCAACCTGCCCACGATTCCAGCGGACGATTCGGGCACTTACTAGCCTTACTGGGCACCTCCGGACCAACTGCAGCATCCGGAAGACATTATCTGGTATCTTCCCCTCCACCCCCGCCTCGCCCCCACGCCGATAACTAACGCTAACCGCACTGCTGAATCCCCATTGCCATCCTCTTCCATCGCCACAGCATCCGCCACGACGACTCCTGCCCCCTTCCCACCACTGCACTTAATCCTGACACACTAACAAACAGCAACCTAATCATAACCAACACCAGTAATGTAGACTTGATCCACCTGTCATCACTGTGATCTCACCTTTATCTCACACATCGGCCTGGTCGGTCACTTACGAATCCGCAGCACAAAGACTGGCGAGCCAGTGCCTGTAGCACCCACATGCACTCGCCGCATGCGCGTCCACGAAGACCTGCCGTAGACAACCGCCGGCTGCGCCACACCACCTCCTTCACCAGCACCCCATCGCACATCAACATCACTCACCCCACCCAAATGCCACCTCCTGCGCAAGTGGGAAGTGTGCTGCATGTGTGACTCGAGTCTGAGACTATCACGGCGCGTTAAGCGCCGTGGCTTGGAAGGCCGCTGACTGACGCCCCAACTCAGTCCACGCAGTCCATCCAGTTGAGTGTGTGTGTGTCTGTTTGGCGTGGCAGACTGGTAGACCGGGAGCCAGGTTAAAATGGTTTCTTCTTGACGTGACCTATGACACTCTCACGTATGTGAGATGCATTCCGCTCAACCCCCATTGTGTGAAATCCTATTGTTTGCGTTTGGGAGGCCAAGTCGTGTAGGTGGTGGGACCAGACAAGGTCATTAAATATGTCAACCACAGCGTCCATTCCTCGCACCGGTTATCTGACCAGCTCGGACAGTGGCTGGGAGCTAGGAATGGGAAGGGTGAGTAAGGCCGACTACTCAGCGCATTTTCCTCACTATAAACAATCTGACGCACTTTAAGCTATCACGGTGCGCCAAAAGCCATGGCTTGGACGGTTGCCATCCGACGGGATAAATTGAACCTCACAATGGGCCGAGTATGTGTTTGTGTGAAGCGGCCGACTGGTGGTCTAAGAATCAGGTTTTAATGGCTCCTTCTCAATGCGGCCTTTATGGCAATCTCACTGCGTGGAATCCGAACCGGATGCGACGGCACGCCTAGGAGCGGCTCCGGCCGCGGCAGTCACTTGCTTCCTATCCCAACTTCCGGTCTTTTTTGACTGTCTTAACACCGGACCCGGGCGGAGTAGTAGGATCGAGTGAGGTAGACGCCGCGCAAATCTATACTGTCTATAAACAAACTTACGCGCAAGTCACTGTGCCTGCCTCACCTAGCTGCGGAGCACATGACGGACATAGTCCGCAACGACGGTCGAACTGTCATATGAGAGTCCAGGTGCAAAATTCCTTTTCCTGTTGACACATGTTATCCTGACATGGTCTTATTTGTCGAGAGGCTCTCTCGGTGGCGACCGGACTTGCCTCGACTTCCAAATGAACAAAACTCGATTTTTTTTCGTTTAGTGGAGAAACAACGCTCAAAGCACTCATTGGACAAAAAACATATCAGATGAAGATGTTTTACTGTTTAAGGGGTGTTGCCCATGACAACGGCATACCCTTTGACATTCAAACTTACCCATGTAGGGTTCAAAAAGACGTCCTTAAAGAATGGTGCCTCAGTGCAAATAGCAAAACCCTCTTCTAGGTCCTACAAAGCTAAAACCCATTCTTTTTGTGTAACTATGCGAGAACGATTAAGCAGCCAACGTGTGTCCTCTGCTGATACTGCAGTAGGTCTATTATTCTTCTTTTGGTCTCATTCAAAAAGACGTAAAACATTGTTGCATATGAGTCATGCTGAAAAGCGTTTGCAAAGAATGTCAGCTTTTATCCGAACAGGCTTCCCTGGAAAACGTCGTATTCACTTCTTTAATATCATACATTTCAGACCATCCCTAGACGGCCTACTTATTTTTTAAAATTTTAGTGAGGCATGCTTCCGAATTTACCAAAGTAAGTCCATTAGATATGAAGCCAGCGGCAAAACGGAAAATACATGGGTTTCGCTCAGCATGTAGAATTTATCGCACGATGGAAAGTAATTGTGTCGATGGCGTTGCATAAATGAGGATTACCACTAAGGTTCTTCATATTCTCAAGACGTTGTCAGTATAATTCTGCGTCGGTTTCGGCCAATTGAACTGGATACCTCTAGCAATTCTGCAGGTGTTTAATGAAGTTAAATTTTGAAGACAAAAAGGGGTAAGGAAGAAAATGTGCGTCGGCAGCTGCGTTTTCCATATCTGAGTAATGTGGACAATGAAGCTGGATTTTCATCTTGGCGAATGAGCTGAGACATGGGCCGGGTTATTGGTAAGACCCGTTGTTATAGTGTCCACGTACGTATTTTAGAGTAAATGGACCAAAGAATCATTAGTAGATCCTCTCATACTTTTGGTATACATTGCTCAACATACAGAAATTGAGCCTCCATCTCCCTCAACCTGGAACACGGAGTATCTGGTCGGCAAGTTTCCGCCAGCGTATTTTAAAACTAAATTCTTCTGTCCAACTTTCAAGTCTTATCATGCACTCCAGTAAGCATTTCGCAAAATCGTTCGTCTTGGCTTCACTTTTGTTGCGCCAACTGGCTGTCAGAGTTTTTCACACTGAATGATCAAAAACTGGTTCCAGTATTTTCAGCATCTTGTCCACTTGGTGTGCTTTGCGGTTTTCTTGTCAGGACACATCCAAGACCGGCCTTAGGGACGATACGAGATCCATAGCAACTCATACGAAGTATTTTATTAGTCAATATAGGTCTTTATTGCAAAAATGCGGATGTATTCGATTAACGCAGCTATATTTTCATTGCCTCAACCACTTGAACTTGCATTTTTTGAAAATATACTCAAAACGAGTGTGATTTTAATTATATCTGAATCTAATTTACCTGTTGGTTAAACGTCTTGTTTTATTTCAACATCAGAAATGTGTTATTTCGAGTCTCACTGAAGGACAGTAATTTACATGGGGGATTATGCTTTACTTTTTGCTTCTGAATTGGAAGGCAATGAGGTCCGTAAAGGAATGCATTTATAACTGCCGAATGTGCGTGTGCCATCTTTATGCAACGAATGTTACTCCGAGGTCCCAGTTAAAGCTATTTAAAGCCCTGATTAATCTAGGGGGGGAACAGATTTTCTCATGCCAAGTAAAACTCTACGATACCGAAGGCGAGGACACGACTGACTGGCCAAATGCTTCTAACTTCAAAATCAGTGGAGACAATAACAAGGAGCACATGGCTTCATGATTGGTCACTTACCACATTTATATCGCTAGTTTTATTATTTTAATGTTCGATAGTGGGTTTCAAAACGCGCTCTTTGCTTGGGTAAGTCACCTGCCATATCGTGAGCTGAAAATGCTTCTGGGATGCAAAGCTTAACTCCCAGCAAAGCACTGCGGTCGCAACGCGGAATTGTTGATGAAAACAGATTGATCAGCATTTCAAAGCGATCGCAACTGTCAGATAACCATTTTCAAAATAACAAGCATTATATAAGTATTTTGAAATCATTACGGAGTATTTTCTCTCCATGATGGCCCAGACAAAGCGGACTTAAGCCACAGCGTCGTTATTTACTCTCGAAACACAAGGCTTTGAGAAAAGTGCTAGATTTCAATCTCATCACCAACCTGAGCCTTCTAGATCTCTTTCTTTGGCCGCGCCTTGCTCAGATCTGTCATCTTCCTTCCTTCGGTGACGCTTGGTAGGCTCCCTGCCTGAATCGGCGGCAGTCGCGTGGCCTCGCCATGACGCATCGGTTTTTACGGTTTTGTCGAGACCAGACGCACCGCTGACTATTCTTTCTCCCTCCTCTGGGGCCATCAAATCGTCAACAGTAACCTCCGGTTGGACTTCCAATTTAAACATCTCATGCGGCTCTGATTCAGTTGCCTCCTCCACCTTGATGTCATTTATGGCTGAGGCACGGCCGACCTCTGTATGAGAATCACTAGAAGGGAAAACCGCCGGACTGCCGCCCTGTTTTTTAGTTTTGGCACCCTTTTGGAAGCGCATTGGTGTCTTGCCCTTGAGGATGGGCGTTCTTGGTCTTGTGTCCGTGGGTTCGTCGTCCACCATGAGGGGTGGTGCTTCCATATGAATGTCAGCCAAGGGCGAATGGTCAGTCCTTGCTTCAGAGATGGTGTCCTGCTGGTTAAGAGACTGTCGGGGTCGGAGGGGAGGTTATTTACTTATAGCAGCGGATAGTATAATAAATTGTGGCAGTCATTTCTGAAACACACAAAAGCGCTGACTTAAAATGGTCGGATTGTATCACAGATTAGGTTGAAGGTTTCGCTTTCAGCAAAAAAGTTACAAAACTTTATGCAATGCAAGTAATTACTTGGAGCACACTTGGTGCAGGCAACCCGTACTGGGGAGGAGACAAAACACGTCTTTCGAGCATTAAGCGAGCTTCAACAGGGGGAGGGTACGCACTTCTGTACAGGGTTTGGGAATAAAAGCAGGAACAGAGTTTTTGATTTGATGCCCCTTATACTTACCAGAAACGCCCTCCAGGGTGACGTTATTCTCACTGAGGAGTTCATAGCCCGAATAACGGAGCCTTAACTTCCAAATAAATAGGCTGTGCATACAAGTGCGTGCTGGTGAGAAGAATTTGGAAAGTGGGCTCGAATCACCTGTTATTTTCAATAGACGATGCGGAGATCAAATCCCTCTGCGCTAAGACAGATCCTGCCCGGACCGCCTTTGTTCTGCCTGGTGACAACGGTTGAGTTCGTCGTGGAGTTAGAAGTGTGATGTCATCCTAGGTATTACCGCTCATGCCTTCTCGGTCTTTGACTGCTGATGTCATGCGACTGCCTGCGTGGACTGTTTACTCTCTGTTCGGAGTGTGTAGTTAGTAATTCCAATGAGTAGTGAAGTCTCCGGATGTGGTCACATGAAAATCGACTTTTAGGAGGAAATGTCTGAGGACTGCAGGTCAGTTTGGTCAATCTATGTCGCTGAATCACTTTGTCCGACAAAATATGCCGAAAAATGAGGATAGGGTTATCCCAAAATACTTATTTCGGTGTCTTCCCCAGGATGGACGGACGAAAGTTAGTACGAAGAGAGCAATCCCATGGTAACCGAATCGGTTTAATTTGTTCAGATTGAGTGCATCATTAATATCGACAAACTTCAGTTTAACGACTGCGCCCAGGGGGACCATAATTCCTGAAGAATAGGTCTTGCAAGTGGATTGAAGATTGATAAAAAAAAGACCTGTGTATCACCAGCCTCCCTTTTTCCCTCTATTTTCATCGCATTTCAAGAAAAGGCTGAGTACAGCACCTGCAGATGTAACTTGGTAAGGCTTTCCAACGTTCACCTCGGCCTACAGCTATCAAAATCTCGACTGGTTTCTCGTTTCAACCATATTCTACATCATAATCTAATACTCGTATTTATAAGATTTTACATTTCACTAGAATAACTTAAAATCTGGTTTTCGGTTTTAGTGGCAAGTTGCTTCCTAGGTCGCAGTTGAATTGCAAATCTGTCGACTTATATCGAAGGAAGGCTGTGTAGTGGCAACTTCATGCTCTTTCATCTTTCTCACCCCATTGACTTAGGGTGACATCGAGTACAAAGAAGAAACAGGACCTTCTTCCCATCTGGACACGCAAGAGTTGGGCCCACACCCAGAGCGAAGCAGGCTTTCCCTCTAGGATGTCATGTGGGGACAACAGGCCAAAGTACTACAGAGAAACAAAACGGTTGTATTGCTGTGTTCTAGAATGGCCGTAGTCCTGATAGCTCATTAAAGGCCCTATTGTGGTCTTGACCAAAGTGAATTCATATGTACAAGTAAAGATGTTTCTTGTTAACCACTGTCATGCAAGATATTCAGTCCCCAAATGTACCGGCTGATGACTTCACCACTGAAGTTTGCTTGAAAACTCTACTGTCTTCTAAATGTCGATTAAAATCTGACATCTTGATAAGTCCTTATAACAAAAACAACCACATTGGGATAGGTCGAGCGGTTGGCGTAAAGTCAGCTGGGTTTGGGAATGTTTAATTACATTAAGTGGCTTACGCCGCGGTGAACCATCTGGCAGCAAGTAAAGTTCATCCGCTTATTTGGATGCAACGGTTTGTTGGAAAATAAACGGGGAGGGCTAGAATGGTCTAATTCGACTAGCGAAATTTGAGGCAAATCCAAACCCTGATTACCACTCTCTAGCAAGTCGTGTTCAGGTCTCGCCAACGTACTTGCCCGAAAAAGACGTTGGCCGCGTGAGATATTCTCATCGTTCACAAAGTAGTGCTAATTTACCGAATTTAATACGCGTTCTTCACTGATAGTTCATTCCTCAAGGCATATTTGGCCCGTATAAGTATTCGAACGGAGCCCTTAGCACCTTCACAGCAGAGTTGTTTCATGTTCGCATTCCGCCCCAAATATCTATAAAAGTCATCGGTTAAGAAAAGATGCGAGCCCGATCTATTTAACTTTCCAGGAAAAACCCAGTCAAACGTCTGCTTGTGGGAGCCGCCCCCAGGTAACAAGAGGAACAGACAAAAGAACAGGCGGAGTAGATTCAAACAACAGTTCTGTCGATTTTATTCGTGCCTACTTCAGCCTCCTAAGTTATTATTCAGGGGTTCTGTTGGAAGTAACCATAATCGTGCGCACGCACGGTGCAGCTGGCTCGGTAGATTAGGTTTTTTAGCCAGACACCACAGACACTCCATCAGCGCCTTCATATCAGCGTGTAGTCAGAGTCGATAGAAATTTCTTCATGAGGAAGTACTTGTGTACCTATTTACTTGACTGTATAGGTAGACTAGTTTATTGATCTAAGCGGCGGAAATTTGGAGCCAATTAACTTTGGGTTGCCAAATGAAGGCATGCGCTTTTTCATTTGAATAAATAACCAGGGATCCAGACAACGGTTGACTGGCGTTGTGGAATAAATAGGAACCAGCCTCAGTATAGAAGGCGCCACATCCCATAGACCTTATCTGTGGATAATTTCCGCTACATATATAGGTGAAGGATCACGTCCACAACTGTTGGCTGGGATATAATTGGCTGAAGCGAGCAAGAATGAGCTTGAAGCGGTTGCAGTTTGGATTTTTCCTGCCAAGCCATTCCTCTCTACAACAAGGGTCAGTTTCTGCAGTGCGTTCATCTAAAGTTTTTGGTTAAAAGTAAAGGCTATTCATCTGTCTATAAACTCACTTCCTCTGACTGTTCATCAATGAAGTCGGGTAATTCCAGACCCGCACCGTCGGTGAAGACTGTAGACTGGCCTGGACTCGATGACTCTAATTTCTTGTAGACACGTATTTCATCTTCATTGGCGGTCTCGGGGCCACTAAAACCTACTGCATCCGGGTCCATGTTTGCAATCCTTTTGTCCTGGGCCATAAGAGCCTAAATTGAAGAAGAAATCCAGATAGCTCTCTTCACTTGGCTAATAAAACTGTAAGAGTAGGTCACACAGTTGACTGTGGTGGAATCTCACAGTGATCTTTAAGTGTAGGTGGTTTCTGAATATTACTTACACAAGTGTATGTCCCGTTTTTTCTGCTGTATTTATGGAGAAATTCCTTGGAAAACCAACTATATATATGCAGAAGTTGTCTTAATCATCTAACTTTAAATTTTAGCTAATTGGGACGTATAGTTTACTGCAGTAGGACCTAAAAATCTGCATGTTATTCTAAATACGAAAAAAATCCTTTAACTCGACTGATGTCATAGGCAGAAATTATTGCTGACGTTTTCATTGATTATTGTCAGCTTCACTTGCGAGTAACTAAGTACGGAGATTCACAGGCATTTTCACAGCAAACTGTATTCTAAAGTTGGTGAACACCCAATAGGTCCTGTAAAAACTTTTTACGAACATTGCTGGATCGATGTGTTGTCGGTATGCCTAAGACTCAAAAACCTGTAGGCTTATAGAAACTGAGTTCTCTATGGCAAATTTTCTCGTGATTACAGAAAGGGGTCAAAATTTCCCGAGCTTTTACTGAAATAGTTGTTTGATAAGTCAGTGATTCCTTCTTCTGTGCATTCTGTCTTGTGGAATTAAGCTTGCTAAAGGGCAAGACTTCAAAAACTTGCCGTATTTATATTTGATACGGCTGCGATCATGCCTGGTCTAGCCGGTCTCGATGATGTCACGAACTGTATCTCCCCACGCGTGACGATCCGCGGCAACAGATTTGGACAGCTCAACCCATTCCCTTCGCCAACGACGAAACCGAATACCGAAGGTCCAAGAACCACCTCCATGCCTTGACGAACTGTGTCGAGCCAGATTTTGAACTGACCCCCTCTTTGACGCCTCCAATGGGGCAACGGTGCCGGATCGAGGACAGCAACATTGAGCTCCTGAGGCGGACGACGAAGAACATGCCCGAACCACTTCAGTCGTCTTTCTTGGATGGCCTGAGTTATCCTTGCGATGTTGTCGCAGAGAGCGCGGACTGTCTCATTTTAGACGAAGTCGGTGAACTTCACTCGAAGGATGATCCTCAAGCAGTGGTGGTCAAATACCTCCAGTTTTCGCTCGTCCTCCACGCGCAAAGCCCAGCATTCACAACTGTGGAGAAGGACAGATCGGACAGATGCACGGTGCACGCGAATCTTAGTGACGATGGAGAGGTCACGTCGGTTCCACAGGCATTTCCGAAGGCTTGAAAATACCCAGCGGGCGGCATCAATTTGGGAGACAATGTCGTTCTTACTCTGTCCATTAGGCAGCAGCCTCGCCCCGAGGTATTTAAAATTGTCTACTTCTTCAAACTGACAGCCATCAATCCCGAGAGCTGCCTTCTCCTGGTCAGGGATGCAGCTTGAAAATGCTTTGGTCTTCCCAGCGTTTATGGATAAACCGACCGATTTAGCGAGTTCGTTCACCCGTGACACCATAGACTGCAGATCACCAACACTTGAAGCAAGTAAGGCGATATCATCGGCATAGTCGACATCAGTCGGTCGATGTCCGGGTGCAAACTCAACGCCGTCACTCGCGTAGGGCCCTCCCGAGGATCCAGTCAATAGCGTAGTTGAGCAGTATGGGTGACAGGATACAACCCTGTCGGACGCCAGACCAAATACCGAACGGCTGGGAAAGATTGTTGCGGACCCGGGAAGACGGGTTGCCCGTTAGCCTAGCTGCTGGCTACCCTGCGGGTCCGCAGGTGGGGGATAGTGGGACGACCTTCAGTGAAGATTAGCTGCGAAATAAGCAGACCTGGGTCTGACGAATAAGCAGTCGCGGACCAGCAGCGACATTGCTACCAGGGTGCGGTGGGCTGAGGTCTGGTACATTGAAAGCCTTATAAAAAGCCGCAATGCCCGATGATGGCATCGTGACATGGCGACCGTAAACCGCCATTAAATAAGTTTGCTTGCCACCGCTGCCTTGTGCTTAGGCTTTGAAGCCAAAGCGTTAGAGGAGGCAACCTCGAACAAACAATCCGAGCGGCTGTTGGGGACCCGCCCGTATTCGAAAATCCCAAGAAATCTCATGAAATATATCCGATCAGTATAAATAATTCTGACTCACTGCTGGAAGCGAAATAGACAAGTAGTCGTTTGGCATACGAGAAGCATAATACTCACGATTGCCTTCTCCAAAACGTACGCATACAATTCGTGAACTATGACGGTAGAAAGCGATTTATTTGGCGTGGATCTCAGAAGCATCCATTAGCTGACAGAAAACTGTACGAGATCATGACAATAACAGTACCGGCTTGGAGCGGGCGGACAGAATATACACTAAATTAATAGTTCAGTATCGGGCTAAATAGGCATTCTGCCTCACTGATATAACAGAAGATCCTGAGTGGCCAACTATGGAGGACGGTCAGCAGAAATTACACATTCATCATCATGGACTCAAAGATCTTACCGACATATCTCCCCCTCTGTCCCGTCCCGGAAGCGAACTGAGATATTGCGTCAAGGCGTCCATCTGGCAACTTTTTGTCAGTTGGATCAACTGCTGCACCTCCTCGATCCGAAGACCAACCAGGTCACCGAAATTCTTGTATTCGTCATCCATCTCACAGAGACATTCTCTGAAGACGGCCTCAGCCTCCGCCTGGTTAGCTCCCCTCTTAACACAGAAGTTCATGACAGCTGCTCTACATTGAATGAAGGCGTTGTAAAAGGGTTTCAGGTAAGGTCCTTCGCCCAGCTGCCCAGTGAGCAGCTTGACTACTGCCTGGGCGTTCGTTCTATTCCCTTCACTCTTGTCAGCTAGAGTGTCCAGAAGACCCATTAAGGTTCGAGCAGAGCCGTTGACCGCAGCAAGGAAGTAAAACACCCACTCCACTGATACGATCGTGGCCAGAAAGCTCTCTCTCAGGCGCCCATCCGGTACAAATTTACAAAGTTTCTGCATACTATCCTCGTCGTGATTCAGCGCATTGGTAATGAGGAGACCGGCTTCGTGATCATCACCCAACTTCTTTCGCATCGGCTGTAATAGAGCCTCCATCTCCTCCCGGGTGAGGAGTGTTGGGGGCTCGAGAATTTGGAGATCGGAGTCCAGGTCGTCTTCATCTTCACTTGCCGACGGTCCACTCTCCCTCACCGCACTGCGAATTTGGTTGATAGTTGACATTTTTTTGCGTACTGAGTAGAAATATCAGGGAAAAATAGGAAAACTGCTGAAAATGGGGCATTTGTATTTCCACTGAGAACGAGTAAAGAAAAACAAAGGACTGAACAGAGAGAACGAATGGTACCAAATGAAAGCAATCGACACCACTATAGCTCGATTAGATGGTTTGCCAAAAATTTATAAAGCAAATGTCCCACTGCGATCAATCGTTGCCCTAAAAGGCAGCCCCACATATAATGTGGCAAATTGGATGCAAACAAAACTGAAGTTCCTCCAAGGCACTTCGACTACCTCAGTTCGATCGACCTCTCAATTCCTCATAGACCTCCAAGTTCGGAGGATTCAATCGGACGAAATCATGATCTCCTTCGATGTAACGTCGTTATTCAAACTCATCCCACCAAACGTGATGCTCGAAGTCTAGCGCAAGAGACTTGAAGAGTCGTACGACGAGACTCAGAGGGCACTCGAAGCTGAACACCTCATAGGGCTGTTTGGATTCTGCCAACAAACTTTCTTTACTTTTGCGCGAGAGGCCTATGAACAAATCAAGGAAACTCCAGTGGGCTAGCCGGTCTCTGATCTAATGGTAGAACCGGAACTACGGGAATTAGAAAAGATTACCTTCATTCAACATAACCGCTATTTTGGCGTCGTTACGCGGACAACACGTTTGTTGTCGTAAAGGACATGATATAACTTTCCCGCATCAACTGCCCAGCACACTCTTCCTTAATATAACCTTACCGGTGAACTTTGAAAGACAGTTTATAAAAAGACAACGAACACCACACAGCTTCTCACTTTTCACAGTAACCACGCGGTGGCTCACAGACGAAGCTGTGTGAAGACGCTCTTTAAACGGATCCAGACTTATTACAGCTATCCGGAAGAAAGATCAAGTGAGGCCCGTTTTCTCTGCGATCAGTTTGTACAAAACAGCTATCCGAAGGCATTCATAAGTCGCCGCTTACACGGTCTCCCTCGAGAGGACTCAAACATTAACACCACCAATGATATGACATTCTCTGCCATACATTAAGGACGTTTCAGAAGCAAGCAAGCGCACTGCTGCGGAGGTAGGTGTTGCAGTTGCACACCGATTCAAAGGCGCCATGTGCAGTAGGGTCAGGAAAATTAAAGAGCGGTTAAAGTCTGGGGAGCAATCGCATGCCGTGCCAAAACTGTCCTTGTAACTACACAGGCCAGACCGGACGCATGCTCGGATCGCGCATACACGAATATAAGCTGGCTATACGACGAGGCGGCGCATCATCACAAGTGGTTGCTAACACCTACAACATGGGTCATGAGCCTGACTTCGCAGTCGCCAAAATAATCGTCCACGACGGGAACAAAACAGGCCGAAAATTGATTGAAGCCTGAGCCTAGGATGAGAACTGAGTAAATCGAGTTATCGACCTGGTGACGGCGTACAGAGCCTTGCGCAGTCACCTTCAGTCTTCCGCCATCGATCGATGATTGGCTGGCAGGCCCACTATCTGTTGCTTGTTCTGTTCTTTCTACTACCACTGACGATGGACTCCTGCACCAGTTAAGCTGAATTAACAGAATGTTCCGATTCTCGACAGCCTTTCCCTTCTTCAGGGAAACCTTTTTGATCTATGAAAGATGCGACACAGCAGATGGAAGCTTGGAAGGTCCCACGCACCCGGATAATTTCAGTCATTCGGACGATAGACTGCTACTGTTCTTAAGCGGAATCCGATTCTTTCCAGAGGTTCTTGGTTCTGACTTACTATAAGGCGTGAAGGCACAAATAGCCTTAGGATAAATAAAAATATCAGTAAAAATGACCGATGTCTACTAGAACGAGAAAATTTTTCTTTTCATCAATTCAGTTCAGGTGAAGTAATTAATGTGCTAGTCTAACTCCATAAAGGTGTCTGATTTCAAGGAAATTTAACTGAAATTCTTAAGTGCGTTTTCGATTAGAAAGATTGGTGAAGTGGGCTGGCAATACTGATTACCATGCGGCAATTCACTGATGTATCAGACTTGCCAGGATCTTGGATTTCAAATTAGCTTCATTTCAGTCGCCGGCAAAAACCGCACCCAGTAAAAAATACTACTTAATTAGCGCGTACTTTTCTATTGATTTTCGATGCTCCTAGAAACCTAGATATACTTTATGGAAGACGCGCTTAAAAATATCGTTTCATGCACTCATTTGTTGGCAACTCAGAACTTATTGAGATTTTAAGCTTGAAGAAAGCGTATAACTGTGTTTTAAAAGGTTTCCAACTATGAGGTTTTTTAAGACCGTGCAACGTCCAGTCAACTAGCGTCGGATATATCCCCCACAACTATGCATAAAATTTGAATTTGATTTGCAAGCAAAGAAGTAAAGAAAACAATATTTTCTACAAGGTAAACTTGAATCGAAAATAGATAGAAAAATCCGCGTGCTAAGTAAGTAGTAATTCTTTGCCGGGTGCGGTTTTTGCAGGTAAGTAGAATGAAGATTACTCCAAACACAGGATCATAGCATGTTTGATAAATCATTGGACTATGCTTCACGGAATCAGTATAACCGCCCCACTCAAGCAATTCTTTTTAACCAAAAGCGCATTTCAAAGTTTTGGTTAACATTTCGTGAGATCGATCGCTGACTGTACGCTAAGAAAGTTATTATTTTTATGCAAAAACCGACTTTAACAGCACTAGGGAAAGTTGTTAACACTGGATATATAATATATTTATAGTTCGGTTTGTTGTCTAAAGCCCACGGTAAAGCATACAACAGTTTCTGAGATTTACCGCGGAAATTCCAGAAGTTAATCTTGAACGCATGGGGCTGTTGTACTGACGACATTTCAAAGTCTGCACCAAGATCAAATTTAAGCCTTGCTAAATGATATGATTAGTTTATTCGAAAAGTTATATCTGCATAACGGGCATTTTTAAACTGTTTTATTATACATGAATGGGTGAATGTTCGGGTTCCAGGTACATGTGTGAGTAACGAAAAAGGTGGTCGAACACAAGAAAATTTTATTAGCTTTCAACATCGCGTTGATGTCCATCGTCAAAGGTTACAGCGGCAGCAGAAAGGCAACCTTTATAGGGGGTATTAGCCAATTAACGGCCATTGACGCAGGTTTTGATGTGACTGTGTAGAAGTCTGTGTGCTGACGCCGGATCGACACATCGGTTGAATTCGGTCCTATCCGAGGCCTAGGCTTCAGTCAGTTTCCGGCTTGTCTTGAGTCCTGTGTGTGCCCCCAAGAGAGTGTGGCGGCACGCCTAGGTGCGGATGCAGCCACGCCAGCCACTTGCGCCCTCCCAGGTCTCCGGTCTTCTTGACTGTGTCTTGACACCGGGTCCAGGTGGGGAGTGGGGAGGAGGGAGTGCGGTAGACGCTGCGCAAGCCTGCTATTACACTAAACCAATTCACGCGCAAGTCACCGTGCCTGCGGCATCTTGCTCTGTAGCACACGGTGGACATCGTCGAAATCAACGGTCGAACTGTCGTGTGTGTGTGTGCGGGGTGGCGCCCCCAAAACGGGCCACGTGGAAGATGCGCTGAACCAACACGGGAGCCATTTCGGAATCTGGCGGGCGTTATCGGCCTTGCGCACCATAACAAATGCCAACATTTTGGGATGCGATGGTAAACCCAGTTGCCGGCAGAAGCGCTCAAACTGGGACTCCTACCGCCTCCCCCATTGTTGCTGGTCAAAAAACTGGTCATTTGCTGTGTGTACTAGGGAGTGTGGGGTGGAGCGCCAAGGTGCGGGCTTGACCGTGCCACCCATCTGCGTCCTCTCCCCCTCCGGTCTTCTTGACTCTGTCTTGACATCGGGCCCAGGTGCGGAAGGAAAGAGTGTGGTAAATGCTGTGCAAGTCTACTATAACTATAAACTGATTCACGTACAACTCACTGTCCTTGATGTCACCTTGATATGAAGTGAACGGTGGACATCGTGGGCAACGGCGGCCTAACTGTCGTGTGTCCCGAAATGGGCCACGCGCAGAGATGCCGAACCAACACTGGGCTAGATCGACACCCGGTAAGCGTTATTAGGACTGCGCACCTACAACAAACGCCAACCTTGTTCGGAAGTGGCGGCACGCCCATGTGCAGGCTCACGCTGCGCCCATTGGGATCCTTGCCGACCCTTCTATCTCTTTTGTGTGAGATCCTGATCAGTGCACGCTGTGAATCATGGATGTGATGGTGAGCATAGATGCGGGTTTTCGTCGTGCGAAACCAGGCCCAGGTGGGGAGGAGAGAGTGCGGTAGACGCAACGTAAGTTTATTATCACTATAAGCTGATTCACGCGCAAGTCACCGCCCCTGCTCTCATCCTGCTGTGGAGCATACGGTAGACATCGTCAATCAAGACTGTCGAACTATCCTTGTTGATGATTATTTGGTGGCTGCGAAATTTCACTCGTGAACCATTTCGACGGTCTTGGAAGACACTCGCGCCAATTTTTCGTCCCCTCGTACAGTCGGCTTGTGTTCATGCGTGCGCGTTCTGGGCGTGCGTTTAGTCTAATATGTGTAATAACAAGAAAAGGTTAGGCACGGGATGCAAAGCATTACTTCGGAGGGTTCCTTGTTATTTACTAGGTCCCTGATTTTCGTGACCCTGCTGAATATGCTGGTTTTGGCCCGTGGAAGATTCCGGCCCCTCGTCCCACTGCAACGCCCCTGGTCGCTTCTGAAATATGTTGAGTATATGCTAGAGCAAACCATATCCTTGGTGGTGTTTCTTTTTCGTTCCTCTGGGTACAAACGTGCAGGCATAGGCCTATAAACGTTTTCGGTTGGCTACTCCGCATAAGTTTGGTCGCGGTGATACCGGGCCTCGAAACGGGCCATGAGTTCAATGTCCCACCCGCCAAGATAATGTTTCACACCGGAAGGAGTTCCTGCAAATATTGACTGGAGGCTGGACTTCGAGTGAGAACCCAGTCAACCGATGTACCGGTCGGGTTTCGGTGTACAGAGCGCTGCGCAGCCACCTTCCACCCTGCGTTACTGACCACTAATCGAATACTACTCCTATGCTTGTCGCTTGTCAAAAGTGAGTAGAGAGACTTCGCTCTCTAACCGACTGTCTAACAATTAAGAGCTGGAACAAGGACTATTCATAAGTTCATTCTGCGAGAATAATCACCGACAGTTGTGAATCAAGTTATTAGAGAGGAGACGTATGTAACATCGGTTGCACACGTCCTGCCCGTGCGTGATGTTTCCTAGTATCTAAACGAAGTCAAGAAGACTAAAGAATAGGTTTACTGTGATGAATGGTTAGGTATTTCTTCGTTCATTTCTTCGTATAGCTAAAACGGATTTCTGGGTTAGGTTATATTTATGTTGAAATAACATGTAATTGATCACTGAATTGGTCAGTCAGACTGTGTAATCATGCATTCATTATAGTATCCACCATGGTTCGCATAATTAATGCAATATTTTCCTTAAATATAGTTGATCCCATCCTAGCGCTTCTAAAAATGAATAACATGTTTCGCCGCTCTTATGTGGCATACCGATTGCTGCCCTTTATGGGATCTAATCTGCTCAACAAGATACTTACCCTTCTCCTTCATTTTTTCCATGACCGCCTTTTTGGTGACCTCTCGCGCAAACTTTCTCAACCGAATCGCGTCCTCGTCCTTCACAACGCGGTCAGCCTCGTCCTCAAACACCTCAGCACACTCATCTACCGCGGTGGCCTTATCAAGGTCCGTGACTTCACTCTTGGCCGTGGTCGTTGGGATGATGGCCTTCATGAGATCTTGTTTTGCATTACGTAGAGCAAAACCCTTCTTGCGCTGGCTGATGTATTTGCTCAACTTTGCAGAGATTTCGAAAGGTTCTTCTGAACCATCTTCTGGCTATGCAAGTGAATTAGAAAGACCTGTCGTAAGACCTCCGACCACTGAACTAATTTGCGAGAAGATTTAAAAATCTTGTTAACAGCTATGCGTTTTACTTAATAACACAGCACCTAGCCCAGCAAGTCCATCAAAACTGCCAAATTAACTGAAAGAAGTCCTATGCTGAAAGACTAATTTGGCCAGACTTTAATGAAGGCAAAAGTTCGGGCTTGGGTATGGCTGGCTGACGACGGCTAATAAGCCAGAAATGGCCATTCCAGTCTCCCTTGTCTTTGTCGGTAATATCATTCTGCCAAAAATAAAGGGATTGTCAAGTTATCCATTTCGACCACAATGTTCGCGGAATGGCAGCAGCCTCTGAAAGCCATTGTGCACTTGTCAGCTAATCGTGGCCACACTGCTCGTCCACGAGCAACTGTTAGTAGAACAGTCCTCGGGGAAGGCTTGCCGCGAACTAAGCGGTATCTCGGGACCGTAGAACCGTCAGCCGTAGACTACGCAGCACCAATACTTAAGCGTGGCGGGTTATCAGTCTGGCGGATCGACTTTCCGTAAAAGTCTCAAACCATAGCTACGAGTACTGTTCGTCACTCAGCACGAGCCTGGGATCTTGAACCAGTGAGTTTGATGGGGACATCCAGAACCTACAGGAAATAATCCCTCCGATAGGCAAAACCCAATCAGTTGTCTTTCAGCGAGCCATGGTTCGACTGGGTTTCCGAATAGCCAGAAACGCAGGTCAGAACCCTCTGGTCGGATTTGCCTAAGGCCAGCGGCGGCGAGAGGGTACGTTTCAACAATAACAAGAACGATAACTGCTGAAACTGATCTTCTATGGTTACACCAGTGGACGGGACAATTAGTCTACTATGGTAGAGGGACGCTCACCGATCTTTTCTATGGAACTCACTCCTCCCCTTGTGCCCTACGGGCTCTCTCTCGAGCTCGACCAGCAGCCGCACAGCGGCGCATGATATAGGCAGAATGGTATTTTCGTCTAAGACAAGGGGGTCAAGTCTACTGCCTGTGGCATTTCGATCAAGCAGCCTTCCATTTGTATCACTGTCCTTTTTACCAATCCCTCCTGTTTGATATGCACCTAAGACTCAGCCGTCGCAAGGATGTTCTGAACATTAACAGCCGGTTGCCTGCTTTGTCCAACCTTCAGAATTATAGTGATATCCGCTTTGAATTGCGTGAAAGATCTTCGCTTTATCCTTTTTGGCGAACATCATGATTATACTTGCTTTTCGCATGTTAACAACTTATTATCTTTTTGGTACCAATATTTCGTTAGAATTTACCGGGTCTACTTTTATGCAGTCGACATTTCCGTCACTGTCTCTCATTATAGCAGAGGGTTCACAGTATACGTTCTGCCGTCGTTCTGTTCTTAAACTGATGTGTAATATTAAGATTTTTGCCGGTCTACACACCTGTTCTAGAAGATTTCGGGATACGAAGGGATCTCTAGTCGGAAGACCTTTGCTACGAGGAGCTCTTGGACCACTGATCGCCTGACACTACTAGCCATGCTGAACGTCTTGGCTGATAAAGCCAACAATGCGGAATTGTAGGCAGTTTAGTCTTTTCAGATCAGCCAGACAAACTACTGCTTGACTGAAACTGGGGTAGGCCTTCTATGACTCGACAACTGCTATTGGCCTGCAATTTTAATAGCTGAAACAGTCATTATGACGAATCTGTTAAGTAGCACAGTTGCTAATTTTGACCACGGAACTTTTAGAATATTGCCCACAGTAAGTCTAGTTTTCTAGCACCCCTTGCGCCAATGTTTACATCCATGAGATATCCTGACTTCTCATTTTATGTCCTAAAGTCAATGTAGTTACTCCGAATCCGGTAGCGAACGATCGGATGCCCTGAATACCACAGTGGGGAACTTATGAAAAGAAAATACAGTTTAATTTCCGGGACAGCAGATGGATTTGTCGAAATTTCTGAACTTCTACGTGGTTGCAGCATCGGAAACTTCAGGATGCACCAAATTCACTGTTGACAACTGCAGAGTTTGTCTACTTTATGGTCAGTCAGCTTTTCTGTCAGGCTGCTACGCGGCACCTAGACGAACAGTCAACGCGGAAATTAGTCGAGTAATGGAATCTACGAACAACAGTGTTCCAGAGAGCTACATACGACATAGAATCTGAATTACGACGGTAATGCTTTAGTATTATAACTCACAATCGAAGCCGTGTAAAGTCGAATTGTAGAGTTTGAACAGGACATTCCATTACAATTTTAATTTGATCAGGGACGACAGCTTTGAAGTTCACGTTATCCAAGGCCTACAGACCAACTTAGGAACAACATCAACGAGCCCTACGTCCCCGCCATGACAAGTCTTACTCTAAATATAGAAAAAGCCGAATATGGCAGACACCTCGACAATTCCACAACAGCAGACCGTTATGGGGATTAAAATATATTAAACCGGCGAACAGTGAGTCTTCATCTGACGCGTAGCATGCGATATTGCCTCCTGCGACTGTGCGCACCGAACAGGCTGTGAATTGGTAACGCGAGTATGTAAGCACAAGGTTGTAAGGTGAAGCCAGAACTAGTTATCGAAAGTTACTTGTTGCTTGCTTAACACTGACTATAGCATTGCCTTTACAGAGATCTTCAGGCGGGTCCGCACACCCAAATTCTCATCGAACTAATCGTCATGTTGACCATCTGTCTGCTTATAAGGTGCTACATGGTTGCCTGCCACCATGGCAGTTTTCCGTCTGATTTTGTATATATCATCAGTTATCAGGGTGTCTTATTCACTTCCCAATGTTCGACTCCAACATACGCCTGAAACAGGACATCTTGACCATCCGACTTTCCTCTCCCTCCTCTTCTAAACTCATGTCTATCTTTGAGATAGGCGACTGTTGTGTTAGAGAAGCTGCTTAAAGATCTAGGAGGGAACCAAGATCTTGTTATTGTTATTAAGGGGGCTGAGAATACCTGACAATTATTATCTAGGTTAGTCATGTTTTTGGACATCTTTTTGGTGAGTTGACTGTGGTGGCCAACGAGAAATCAAGGTACAGGATATAGTAAGTAGCTCAGATTTGAGGACACAACCGTTCGACTTCTACGATGTTGAAATTCGCAGTGTTATTTCAGCAGGCCTTCTTTTAGAGTCATGAAGTAATGATTAGACATTAGTTCGCGCAAGGAACAATCAGGATGGCAAATGGTTCAAAAGTCTCAGGTTCGGTACTACTTCGAAAAATCGGCTTTTCAACGCCATTATCGCCTAATGTTCAACCCAAATAGGTATGCTGTTCATTAAGATTGCTGTGAATATCTGACCATAGACGGTTTTGATTTTGTGACATTCACTCAAGCATCCCATCTTTCTAGTAGGCGTGCACTAAAACGTCACAAAGCACAATATTTGCCCGAAAGTTTCAGTGGTACGCTTCTAGGACTTGTATCCCCGGAAAGTTATCATAATCTACACTTTTTTCGGAAGTTTTCAGAAAATGAAAATCTTGCTTTATCTGGCACTGCGCTTTTGTTTCAGCATTAGCAGTGGGAAGACGCAGTACAGAGACTCTTCAGGATTTTAGCAGAAAACAGAATCCATACATAAGATGCCAAAAATCTTCTGTCATCGACAGGCTACGGCCATACTATCACCCTTGACATTTCCGATTATTTTTAGCAAACCAGTTGGTTGGAGCCTGTGGTGAACGCTAAGTTAAGTCGTTGTTTAGTTTTGTCTCTAGTGCCCGATAGCTTGTGAAGGGGTGCCTCCTTTGGTACTTTGGCTTTAGCTCGGATCCAACTGTCCCAGCCTCTTTTGGATTAACTATCATCGCAGTGAGATGCGGACTAAAACCGTTACCATATGCGCGGTAATCCTTGCTGTTCGAGCATGTATCCTACTGGGTCTCAATGCTTGGGAGTCAACACCCGACCTTCGGCATAGGTTGAAATAAATTTTTCATCAAAATCGGCATAACCGACCTTGTTATGCCTACTACAAGCAATATTACTATCAGTATCATCTGCTTATCTCTCTACACTTTAAGTGCACAATTAGTCTGACAATGTTTGCCATTGTCATTCTGTCTCCGTCCTCATATTTTCCAATAATAGCCTGCCAGATTTTTGGAGAAATCAAAAATTTGTTTGGGATAATTGTTATCCAACAGCCTTTTACAGATGCATACAGTATGTGGGCTAACTCATGAAATATTAACCCAAATTCCGGAATGCGTTTGAGGCACGAAAATATTAATTAAGTAGGGTTGACAACTCACCATCATGCAGCATAGTTTTATAATATTCCAATTACCCCAGAATGTTGACTTTCGAGCGAACTTCTTTCCGGCTGCATGCGAAAACTATACTCTGTAAAAAATGACTACTTACGTAGTATTCATTTTTCCCATTGGTTCTCGATGCACTTAAATAGTAAATTATATTTCATGGAAAGCATGCATAAAAATATTCATTCGCTTGCGACATCGTAAGGTAACTGAATATTTACAGAATTATGCTGCATGCTGGTTTGTTTTGCAACCTTAATTAAGTAATCCTTGCGAAACGGAAACGCATTCCGGAATTTCGGTTGACATTTCATAAGTTAGTCCACCTACTGTACATATGCGAAGTAAGACAACCTATTATTTCTGTCTTAAGTAAAGAGTAGAGAGGCAAAAGGATAGAAAGGCGTAATTATGAACATGGTTACTTACGTGGTATCTTCGTGCCAGTTGTTCTAGAGCCGCCGTGTTAGGAGAAAGTGTGACAGTTCTCTCAGACAAGAGCTAGGAGTAGGAAGAAGTTCAACGCTAATTTTCGAGGAAGAGTGGTTTAAAATGTGCTCAAACATACCAGGTGATAAAAGGAGATGTAAAAGAAGTAAAACGGAGTGAAGAAGACATGCTGACCTAAGTAAGAAAATCACCCGTTTAGAGGCGATGAGCAACCGTCATCGAATGCTGACGTCAGACTTGTTGTAGTTTAAGGGAAAATGTATGCTAAAATGTATCCCAGTTTGACCTGGGGTTTCGACTCCCCTGGAAGCTGGGATGCCTGGGCGAATAAACTTCTGGATCTGGTTTTTTTGATATTCCTTCTTCTTTTTGGGCGGTATTTCCGTGAAAATTCAATATTCGCTCCCTATTCATGAGAGCGAATTAAAGTGTTAAAAATTCCATAATTAGGCACATGGGAGTCGAGGGGAGAATAGATCTGGCCTAGTGGTCAAACACTATTCCTGCTAAACAGCTGCCCCCACGCCTCTCGCTACTTAAGCGTTGTCCTCCGATAAGATGCAAAGGAACTAAATGCCTAGTTCTTGGCGCTTGGGTTGCATCTTCCAGCATCTCACGTTTGAGTGGACCGCCAGACTTATTGTTTTTACTTAATACCTGCGTATAAACTTACTCGAATCTCATATTGACCCAACTGTAAAAAACGGCGCCTCGGTGCAATTCGAACCCACGACAGCGAAGGGTAGGCTCTGGTACAGCCAACACTCTAACTCTCGGAGTTATGAGATCCCACCGGGAGACATGTGTTTAGTCACATTTGGGTTAGGCCACCCGCCTGACCTGCTGCAATGTCTGGAACCCACCAAATCTGATACAATAAGGTCACTGCCCAAGCAGGATTTCCAGATGACTACTGGGCTCACGTAAATAAATAGATGTTTTGGCAGATTTCGAATAACTCAGATTAGCCCAATTGTGAACAACTCGGCGTCTTGGTGGGATTCGATTCCACGACAGCAAGGGGAAGGCTTTGATTCAGCCAACGCTCCAACCACCGGAGCTACGAGACCCCATCGGCGGGGGACGAAAAATTTTACACGGATGGCCGGCCCGCATGTAGTTATTTCCTATCACTAAAATTTTGCTCGTGGTCTTCAACTCCACGTAGAATATTGTTATGTTTGCAGTCATATTTCTGTTTCATCTGAGACGTCTTCATGCGCCTGTGTGATCAAATAGAGTTGTCGATGAAACATGCTTTGGAAATTCAAGCCGTCCCAGTTCTTGCATTTATAGTTACACGTGCTGCGTCATTCATTATTTGTTGTCAGAGGTTTCCTTAATTCGATTTTGGAAAGTAAAAACTGTTCCGACATAATATTCTAAAATATGTTAACGTATGTCAGACTGGAAATTGGCCGAAAGCTGTTCAACATAACATGCTATTGAAGATAAAAAATACTAGCTGCGAGTCATGGGCCGAAAAAGAGAAGTTACACTTATCTGATCCTGAAAAAACTATTAATGAATGGGCTCTGAAAGCAGCATCTATAAGAATCTTCAAACCTCGGGGGAGTGTGGAACTTAAAACAACTGAAAACAACATACCTCGCATGTCCTGAAAAAGGACAATGTTTGTAATCGAAACCTAAACGTTGGGATGCTAGAAATATGCTCAAATATCGCCAGTTTCCAAGGGCAATCTGTGGTGTACAATGCGAGGACGGTCGCATTTTTGACAAACCTTATTTATAAGGATTAGTTTAAATTTAAAACACACAGCACTGTGAACGTCGGAATGGCTCAGTATAATGGTATTTGTTCATTAGCCCTTTGTTAAATAAAACCGGAATGCACCTTATAATTTGTCCTAACACTAACTGTGCCGTTTTGCGCTTGTGAGCCCCGCAGTTGGTTACCTTTTATCTTAAGCAAAATAATCCACATGTAACGGTTATTTAAATGCCCAAAACAATCTACTACCTCCCATTTGAAAGCTCCCATGGAAAGTCAAGGCATGGGGTAAAAGAGGAAAAGAGTGACGCACCAAATAAACTTTCTAAATACGTTTTCGAAGAGATAAAGCCCTTGAGCGTAGTTTCTAGGTTGCAAAGACGCGAAATACGACATACTAGCTTTGTCAACTCTTGAATACCGCCTTCCAAGAGGAAAACGTCAAGGCGCTTGTACTAATTTCATCATCAAAAGTGATTCCCCTGGCCTGGAAGGCTGAGAACTGATGGGATAACGCGGTCCTCTTCGGTCGGAGTGAGGGTACAATAGCTCCCTCTTAACATGGCGTCTACGGCTATCATAACTTATTGGGATCGGGGCCGTCCTTCTCTTGTTTCAATGAAACCCTGATCCAATGTGAGCTGACCAGGCGTGTGTGGCATGCACAGAGGGACTGCTTAACTTTGTCAGTCACTGTGCTCAATCCTGCCTCCAGCCTTCTTGATTCGGTCTTGAGAGTGGACTCTGGAGGGTGAGGGAGGAGGTGGTGGGCGATAGATGCAGCGCAAGTCTGCTATCGCTATCGACAAACTCACACGCGGGTCATCCTTCCTCCGCCCACAATGTTGCGGGGCACACGGTAGACATCATTCGAATAGTTTAACAGCCTTACCCCGTCACTTATGCCTACTAGAGCAAAGTGAAAGGTTCCCTTTATGCAGAATTTCATTACCGACAAAGACAAGGGAGACTGGAATGGCCATTTCTGGCTTATTAGCCGTCGTCAGCCGGCCATACCCAAGCCCGAAGTGTGGAACACCCGAGCCTCGAACTCGCGACCTGTTGGTTTAGAAGTCCACGCCTCTATCCACCGGGCCACGAGCTCGTTGCCCTGTCGGTTTTCGATCGGGAATATAAAATGGTAGGGGGCGCTCACCGATCGTTCATACGGAACTCACTCGCTCGGTTGTGCCTTAACGGCTCTCTCTCGAGCCCAACCAGCAGCCGCACAGCGGCGCATGATACATAGGCAGGCAATTTGATGGAATAAACACTAGAATATATATCGCCTACTTGTAGTATAAACCCAAGAAACGAACCTTGGTTCTGCCTATTTCGCAGCTCTTCAACATGCTTAGGAGGCATGTTAACAAGTACGCTTTCGGAAGAAATTGTAGCATTTTGAAAATTGTCTGGAACACTTGATATGTCCCACCACCATCCCTTAAGACCTGTAGTAATTAGACTAACACCGTACTGCAAGGGCCAAAAAAATTCGTTCTTTAAACCGTTTTACAAATCTAATTCAGAACCTCAAAATATGCAATTTACTACATAGGCCTTACGTAGGTGAGCATTCCTTCAAAGACGAAAATCAATCAATAAATACACGTTTTTGTCAATGTTTTCCATATCGAACGAAATCTACAAGATAGCTGGAAATATATCCGAGCTAAAGTAGCCGTCCAATATTAGATGAAATACCATACAGCTCCATACTAATTATTATGATTTCTCCATTCACACAGCTTTTCTATGGTATGCAGGCAGATTTAAAATATAAAGTCACTTTTTAATAGTGGACAACTGGAGCTTCATTTTTCTTAGCATTGCTGGCATTTCCGAGCTTGGAAATAGGTAATGACCCAATAATTCAGAACAGCATTATCTGTACTTCAGTAAATCAAGACCGTACAAATGCCTGCCAGCAAAAATCAGAACATGGCACCCAAATGAAAATTACTTCTTGACAATCAGCATTTCTTCTCAAAATGCGGACAAGAGAATAGGGGGAGTAGCTAGGAACACAGCCTGCATTAAAAACGACTACTCCATGACTGGAATTAGCAAGTATTACATATAAGCCGACAAGTTTCTTCCAAAAGCAAATCGCGCATATAATTCGCAGAAATTATAGGCTTTAGATTGTTTTTTAAATAGACCGTCCATAATTCTATAACGTAGCTGAATGTTTTCCTTCGCTTGCTCCAGACAAGTTTACTTGTCTGCAGCTATTAAAAAGATCGGAAGAGGTAGCTTGATACAGACCAGAATATAAGTATTTGCAATGACCATGCTTGTGTCCGATTAAAACTAGGCAACATGCATTTTACTCAACGCCATCGACATCGTGGCAGCATCTTATATTAATACAGTGGATTATAAAACTGAAATAAAGGCCGTCACTTACTGTTGTCACTAAACATCTATTCAAACATCCATCACTTAATGACAACGAACATCGAACAACTCTACTGAACTTTAGCATTTTTTCCAGCCGAGTAAGATTGTCTGATGTTTAAACCCCAGTTCATGCCTCGTGTTAAGGAAAATTCACAATCTACGTAATTGAAGCAAGAAATTTAACTTACCGTTTCATATTGTTTGAGGCAGACATCTAGCCACTTTCTAATTTCACTATTGGGGATATAACCTGGAAATAAAAAAGAAAACTCCAGGCTTATAAAGGTGGCGAGCTAACTTAAAAAGTAATGAAACATATTTCTGGTTGTTCCTGATGATGGGTTCGAGTGGGGATCCGGAACGCTAAATAAACTTCTTGTTCCAAGATCGCATCTTTTAAATAAAACACGTTTCATCCTTGTTCCAAGGAGAGCTAAGATATCTAACGGATGCAAAGGCAAACTCTCGACATGCAGATTGTAATAACAGAGAAAAGAACTAGTACTTTACAATTTTATAGATTCTCCTCTAAGATTCTGATAACACTTTCTCGCTATACGAATTTTAATAAAAAACATCGGTTTATCTGTCCACTGTTGTGGGCAAGATAGTTACTAAACAGGGCCACCTGCGTAAATGAGAGAAGTCACCGTTGGATTCTGTTCAGTATCCCACATTTCCCACCTACGAGATTTGCTTTTTTTACATATAGCTTGAATGAGCATTTTCAATATGATTCTAATAGAAAGACTGATTGTCCACAACAGAATGATTGAAAACTGTAAGAGATGGCTATGGAATCTTTGTCTGCCCTCCAACCTTTCTGATAAGTTCTCAATTCCGCAGACTGCGAAAGCTCAAAACATCACAACTATTTACGTAACAGTCGAGTCTAGACTCCTTTAAACATGGTTAGATTGGAGTTGATGGTCCATTTGTCTAATCCAGCCTCGACACTACTCTTAATTGAAGGAACAGTTAGGGGATTAGTCGAAACCTGATCGCGTCAACAAGGAATATCAATGGGCCATTTAAATAGATGGATGGATGTGTGGGAAGTAACAGGTGAGTAACTCTGGTCCTTGCAACAGGACTTTGTCGGTTGGAATTAAGAGTCGTTGGGGTGTGCAGTATAGAAATAGTTAACTGAAATTTTGAATCTAAATATCAGAGAACGGGATTACTCCAGTGTGGCTGGGTTGCTGGTGAGCCTGTAATATAATCTTTATGTAATAAGTACACCTTAATGTGTTCCCTTTAAATAAGAATTTTCTGAGTCACAGGTTTATCCCATGAAGGAGACATTTTCAGCGAATATGTAGGTTCGTTTATGTGAAAATCTTATAAATATGGTACAATGAAAGTAGTCCTTTAAAAGCAAAAAATAACATTTTGCAATACGTTTGGATTAAGAAAAAAATTAGTTTCTGTCGACCTATAACGGCAAATGCTTCCTCAAATGCAATGTACGATCACTAATGGAGTTAACATTCCACCAAAATATCGAGAGCGCTGATAAAGTAAATGAGTTGTCTGGAGTACACAATTTTATTTGAGAAAAACATCCGGTTAATGAACAGCATGTTAATGTATCAGGTTAAACCAGATTTTGAGGGGTGTCCGTTAGTATCGCAATAGTATTCGCATACTGTTTATTATTAGACGACATATACGAAATTTTCTGTAAACTCGCTGGGATATCCATTAATGGTTTCAGGCTCTAGACTGCGGTAGTTCTTTTATTTAAGGATGCAGACTGCAAGACACGACTATTTTTTGCATAAATCTTGTCCCAAATGTTGCCTGTAGAACGTCTAATTACAAGTTTTCCATCTCTTCTCTTTGTATTCATTCTCACTTCTTTACAGTTAATATACGATAAGTGAAGAAACTAAATTGATGTTGACGTAGAGCCGAAAATATGGTTCCGATTAGATATATTAGCTGAGTTGTCTGCAGCGCCGCCTAGGTACGAAATGAGCCTAAGCTACTTTGTTCACGACATGGTGCTGGCTTCTGTGGCCGTCTTTTGCGTCATCTGTAAAAATCACATTCGATAAAATGGTGACTTCTGTATTGCGTTTTTCACTGATTTTTGATACACGCATGAACTTAATAATCGCTTTTCCAAGAATGCACCGAAAATTCCTGTTCTTTATTCCTTTGAAGGAAGTTTATTATGGCCAATCTGCATTTATAAAGGAATAGCATACAACACTTTTTAAGCGTATGGATGTATGAAACTCTCAGACACTTAATTAATCAAGCTAGAAGCATAGTATCTGCGCGCTTATTGATGCTGTCTTTCAAACGCATATCGGTATTCACATCTAACAAAAATGGGGACACTGGGTTGCCTCGTCCTAGCAGCATAAACAATATCTGATTTTGCTTAACCTAAATATATGCCACGTAATTTGAATGTTCTTTGCGCAAATTAGATAACAATTTAGATTTAAAATAATTTGCGGTAGGAACACTTCACCCACAAACAAACGAAATGATCTCCTAAAGTAAAAATAAAAGCATGACAGTGTTTTTTAAATGAGGATCAAAAGACGAATCTTACATGCATTCAAAAACAAAATATGGTAGCTTGTAGACCGATGTTAAAAATCGATGGGAAGAGTGTTAACTGTGCAAGTCAGCGCTTTCTGGTTTGTGTGGGTTTTCAAGTGACTGAGGAAATTATCATCAAAGACCCAGAATCTTGAGACGTGGGGCATACCATTAAATGATGCCGTATTTCAGTCATTACTTCATGAGCTACTCAGTTCACTATAGTTAAAAGAGTGAGTTGAGCATGCATCTTACAGAAATGCGCCTGTTTTCAACTCGCAGGACTGTTTTCGCATTGCCAGTTGCAGTTTATTGGAAACACTAGGCTCACGATAGATCCGGCAACTATGAGGCCGACAAAATTGTAGTATTGCGGTCTCACTTCACTTCACTGCAAATGATTTACTAGTGCGAACCTCTGCGGTATAAATAAGCCAGTTGCTTCCAGGGTACTGCTCTCACCAACGACACTTTTCCGACCGTTATGCTGTCAATGCACTTGGTATAGGTAAACAATAGACCAGTCTTGCCTTTCTACACTAACCATCAAACTTCCCATCCCAAGACATGAGTTATGACATAAGTTCTTTAAGTGCATTTTTGAAACAGGCGGAGTTTGACGAAATATCTGCCTTTTATGTTTTCACAAATTCATGAACGTAAAGCCGAAAACCAGGGTAAATAATCTGTACTACGACAAGTTTGACGAGGAAATCGACAATTAAAAGCACCCCTTGTGAAACGAACAATTTGGGTCAGTCCGGTCTAATGGACACTGGTGAAAGTTCCGGTGAAGGAAAAGGAATTTGTTTCTCTGATTACCGGGTCTGTTTGATGCAAATGGTTAAATAGTAACGGGATGGCTGAACTTTGCCCCTGAATAACTTTTACAACCAGTCCTTAACTCGCCCATATAGTCCACGTTGCAATATTTGCATAGGTGGAGTAAATATCATCTGCAACATGGGCGGATGAAAGTGAGAGTACAGTAGGCATGCTAACTCACGCAATGTTAGCCAGAATGCTGAAATGCGGTTTCGTTTCGAAAGGATTAAGTAAATAACGTTTAAAACTCGCCATCATGCAGCATAGTTTTATAATATTCCAGTTACCTCAGGATGCCTGCTTTCGAACGGAATTCTTTCCGACTGCAGGCAAAAACAATAATCCGTAGCATGCATTTTAATTATTAATTTTCGATGGCCTTAAAGATTCAATTATACTTCGTGGAAAACGTGTATAAAAATATTCATTCTCTTGCTCATTCGGTAGAAAATTACCCCTTTCTCTAATTCTATACTCGAAGGAAGGATATAATTCGGTTTTCAAAAACGTTCCCAGTTCCCGAATGATGTCGAACCCGACCTGCCGTTACACTTGCCTTTAGGCTTTCCAAACGACAAGTTATATATTTTCCGCGCACGGAAAACCGTACATTTCTCAGCGGTATTAAGAGGAGACTCAGTGACGTATATAACAGGAATAGAGAAGAAGAAGTATACCGAAATGTCAAATACTACGTACAGGGAATAGAATACGACTAGCAAAAGGGAAAGTCATTGGGCGAAATTTGGTCATACTGCATATGACACAATTGCATCATGTCTTTCTAGCTTTTTACAGCCAATATTTAATCCCAGCGCTGTCCAGATTCCATATTTCCTCATCAACATAGGTAGATTTTTCACTCCTTCCTTTTAGGGGTAAATCGGAAATTTAGTCAACCTCGTACCATAGCAGTTGTCGACATCCTCGTTTTCTCTTTCAACCATATTTTGTTGTAGTAAACATTTGTCGGTCTTAAGTAGAGACTGAGTTATTCAGAGTAAGGGGAACATTTGGTTAGGAGGTCTGTCTGCGGATTTTAGCTAGGTTTGACTGCTCACTGCCAGTGAGGTCTCGCAACTGCCCCAGTATTGGCCCTATTTCACCACAAGATTAATAAGTACTGGCTTTCACGGTTTATTGACCTTAGGTCACAAATATTCCTGACGCTTACAAGTTTGCGTAAATCGCATGCTCCTCCTTTACCCCAGATGCTACTCAGTGGACTGTCGTTACTGCCAGAGTGGTGCCCCAAGGTAATCAGAATGAGTTGTGATTGGCCATGAAATTTTCCTTAACGATGACCGGTGACACAAATGCCTTACATGTGGGTCAATTTCAAAATTTTTTATGACTTCTTGACACTCAGCAATGAAGAGAAGTGACCGGCGGTTATTAACAATGGACCTGTTTTGCGTAAAATATGTACCGCCAAAACCTTTCAATTTTACGCTAACAAAGGAGGCAAGTTTACAGTTCGATGCCTTCATAGTTTACTTGTAATCTGTTCTTAAGGGACTAAGATACATATTGACTTTTATTCGGTGTTAACTGTTGGATTAAAGTCTCTGATCTAAGGCTGAAATATCGAAATAAGCAAACGAACTTGTCAAACTTTCAACAAAGAAAGTAGATTTAATGGCAAAATATCCTCTCCCTCGGTGGGTGAGAATTCATGTATATGAAAATTTGTTTCTCAAATTGAAATCGACTGTAAACCCAGAAAGCAGGTTGGCCAAGTAAAGGGCATAGAAAGATGAAGGCAAGAGTATTTCAATAGCATAGAATACATCACGGATGAAGCAATGGCTGTAGACAACCATGAAGGGAATAATTCAGACAAACAAAACAGAATTTTACGTAATATGGAGTCGACTCATCCACAGAAATAAAACGGTGCACCTAAGCCTTTTTATACCACTGAAAATTTTCTTAAGGTTTTTTATATTATCCATGATCATATCAATTTATAACCTTCAAAAAATAATTAAACTTGAGTGGTCGGCAGATGCATGTCGCCTGGTAGTCTAGGTTTTGCTGTTAATTTTCTGGCTGCGAGACACTTCAGAATGCGCGTCAGCCGCGTGATCTTTTTGCTGGCGTTCGCATTATATTACTTAGCTTGCTAAAGAGTCCTTTTAGCGCAAAACACATCCCAGACCTGAATCTACAAGGCTAGTGGCCGAATAGCTACTAGCATTAGCTATGCTCTTCACCTACTCGCCAGTGTTATTCAGCCAGTGACGATAGGTAAAATTGCCCCAAAACAAAAGTAGCATAGCATAATGTGCGACATGATTCCTAGTCCAGTCTTGGTCATCCGTACATTCTTTCTATGGAATTACTTGAAGCTCAGCAAGGTTATGTTCTGTATACCCTGCTTCTTGTCCCCTCCGAGATAAGATATGACGAACGGGCTTCCACGAGACAGCATCGAAATCAATAGACTGATGAATACACAAACGACTGTACGTAATGGAGTACACCCATGGCGATACGGATTTTGCAAATGCTGAAGTCAAGAAATCAATAACTGATAACCTCTCCGCATTCTAACGTGCATACCTGATCGATCTATATTCTTTCCAAAGACAACCACGACACCCGCGACCATTATTATTATTATCCCCTTTATCCTCTCACCAACACCATAATCGCCGTTGTCACCATAGAACACAAGTCAGAATTATGAATTCGCAAACTTCCTCGGACGCTCACGTATATAAATCCTAGGATTACACTCGATATTCTACCTTCTTCGGGTGACCTGTTTGCGTTCTCTTGTGGAGCTGGCCACAAGCATATTGTAATAAACACTTTAAAAGCAGGCTAGTGAGTTTGAAAAGCATGGAGCAGCAAGTGTACTAGCGAAAGTCACTACGTAAATGTGTAAATATTTCTGTTATATAGGACATGTAATATAATGGATAGCATTAAAAATTTAACTGTGCGTACGATGACAAATTCTATCCTTTAATCTGCTTTGCATAAACCAACGTCCTACAAAGAATCAGAACTTCCGGGTGGAAACACCAGAAAACGAATTATCTCCCCGATCGCTTTACCTACCCTTTGGGTCAATTATAAAGAAGGGCATGGTCTTTAAATGCTCCCGCAGGTTTCTAAATTTCGCCTTCACATCACCCTCGTTTGCCAGAATTGGAATCGGCAGTAGGGGAGGGTCGTTCCGCATGCCATGTGTTTCAGTCTGCGTGGTGTCTACCGTTGGTGAAACATAGGCCGGCAAGAAGGGGTTCGCTATTGCGGCCTCCCGTTGGCGCGCTTCTTCCCGCAATGCCAGAGAGATAATTTGTTTTTCCTTTACTTTGGGGACATTGGCGGTGTCCGCCATCGTCAAAGACGATAGTACGCAAGTTACGCTAACAGGTCTTTGTCGCACGCTATGGCGCACCTACGCGGTATCGATTTTTATGTGCGCCGTTTAAATCATGTGACACTCTCGGCGAAGTCGGAGGACGAACGCATCATAATATTTCTTGCATTCTGTTTTGCTTATTTTAGTTTCTTTTTTCTTGCTTGAACTACTTTTCCGTACTACAGAGTCATTATTGCGGGTGAAATCAGTAAATTAGAGGGATTATGCATTTCGTAGTTTCGAAGCTCTTTGCGACTGGTCAAGCGATCTGCTCTCTCAGGAGCCACATGTTTCAAAAAATGTTTCTACAGTTCATCAATGCTTCGCTATTTCGGATTTGAGAGGAGAACTATTTTTGATAGAACAGATAAAGAGATGTCAGGTATTTGCTACAGCAGTGTAATTGCTGTCCCCTTCACTGTAGTCATATCTTAAATAAAGCACGCATTATCTCTGTTTACATACAACATACGGATATGTCCACATATTTTCAAGACAGAGAAGTCTGGGTGGCATGGAGAATTACGTTTAAGCATGTCGCCTTTTGAGCAGTATCGCACCAGTTCATCGATAAAACCCCGTGATGAGTCCGACAGAGGCAGCACTTGGGTTCCATGGATGCGATCAACAGGACCATCGATCAAGTCAACTGGTACCCCACGACAGGGGCAGACTGGCCGCCCATGGACGTCTCAGGCCGATGAAAGACTGACTGTCGTCATCACTCGTGGCCGATATTCTGTTGATAGTTAACAAAGGAGTGAGTCTCGGAAATTCATGGAAATTCGCATAGAATAGGTGCCCAAGTGTTGTCTGGTTCGTGTCGACAGATGAACTAGCACGCATGTTGCATGTATTGGGCGGTGAATTAGTACCTGTTTAGCCTTTGCCCCATAACACCTATGAGGTTACGCATTGTCATCTCGAGTCGACGCTGCTTACTATTTTTTCTGGTTGAAGGGGGCAAGGTAAACCTGACCCTGTGCAGCCATTCCTTACCATAATCCAACAGCTGAACAGTTTGTCTATCATTGTATCTGGAAAAGCTGCCAAATGCCTGGATAATTCGGTTCCATAGACCCAGACCCACTTACGGTGGATTCTTCTAAACGAAGTCTTATGGTGAGCTGCATGGATGAAACATTCGAGATAGTGAATTTTGGTTCAGGTCTGTTGAGAAACCAAAACGTGGGTGACATGTTAGAGCCTATTAGTGCCCAGGTTCAGACTCACGCTCTTGAGATGTCATACTTGTTCACAACCTGACTGACCAACTAGTCAGTCAAATGCCTTCACACTTACGACAGCTTATGACTGAGGAAAGCTGAAGTATCAACCAGTTTCCAATGAGGACTGAATTTGAACTGTCAGGAAAAAATAGATCCATAACCGGCAGTTCGACAGTTGCGACTGGTTTCTGTCGCTGCCTCAAAAGTGAGCGCAGTTGTAAATGGTGTGCATGATTCTTTCTACCGAGGAAGATTTTTGACGCATCTAACTCTCTTGAGCCACTTACTGCGGCGAAGTCAAGACGACCGGGGTGGACGTGGGCACGACCACTCAGGATCTGGTTAAGCGTGTCGAGTACGACGCGGCTTCTACTCCATATGTGGCAGGATACAATTGTGCGGGGCGTCTCGGATCTCACGTCAGTAAGTGTGCCGTCACATTAGAATGGAGTCATTACAGCCTGACCTTCAGTTCTGAGGAAGGCGGACTTACCCCGGCAGTAGAGAACCTTCCAAGTAGCAACTCTTAGTGCCTCATGATGAATCCAGGTGCGTCAGATTTATCATAATTAGGAACGCGCTGGTTTGCCATGAGAGTGAAGTTCTCTACAATGTTCACTCTCCATTCTTTTTCCCATGTGCAAGTCCACTGTTTGATTTTGTCAGCCAAATGGGTGATGAGAGCAGCCTCGGTAGGTGAGACGGCGCGAATGTCCGTGTGTCGGCAGTTGATGTCTAGTCCAGACCCGATAAAAGTGTGTCGTGTACCAGAATTATTTCTGGTTTGATCCAACATACCAGTAATGCGGCCCACTTTTAGGGCAAACGTCCACGCATGCAGACTCAACACACGCTATCGATGGACGCCTTGACCTCGCTTCGGCTTTTACTTTGGTGGTTGCAACTTGTTCAGCCCTTTTGTTGTTCTCCGATATCTGATTTGGGGATGCAGAAATTCCCTGGATATTGCATTACAAAAGGTAGTAATTCAAGTATAGCACACAACTATTCGTTGGTTCCGGCTAGTCTACCAACAGAAGTGTTGCCTTTCGCAGCTGGATCTCACCGTAGATTGTCTAGTGGAACATGGCTCCCAATTCACAACTCTCATACGCCTAGTTCCTTGCACATGGAGATAAATATAGGGAAAATAACCCAAATATTCCATCTCTCTAACAACTGAAAACTCATTCATAAATCGGACCATCCTGAAGTACATTCGACCTCTCTCAGATCTGACATAGTTTATAACATCACATCAGTCTAGATGCAGAAGCTCATTAAGGCCGAACACATCAACGAAACGAGCCAACCCCTCTGGTAGGACTGGCATCTAAATATTTCACGGGCATTCCCTCAGCCAACTGTCGGGGCAGGACCAGATGACGAAGGCAGCGCACTAACTTAAGTCCATTCTTTAGAAATTTTAGGAGCATTATCTGGCATGGCCATCTTCTCCAAGTCTGCCTTGATCTAGGACGTCCAATAATCCTCGCATCACTTCTGTTTCATGTTTTCAGTTCTCTTATAAGAACGGAAGTCTCCACACGAGTAGTAAATATCAAATCCCTGGGAGGCTGTTTTACTTTCTAGTTATATAGACAACAGAGATTTTCAATCCAAAAATTGAAGAACTTCTCTCGGTAACAACAGTACCATCAATTTCACACCGCATTCATAGGCGTGGGAAGTTTGGATGCGTAAACTCAGGCCAGTTACCACTCTTAGGAAAATTATCATTATTTACCAACTAAAGGAGGTTAAAAAATTCATGAAGCTGCCAGTAAAAGTCCTTGTCATCGCCTCCCAATGCTAAAAAACTTGCTATTTTACAAAGCATTTTCAAGAATCGACACAGTTTACGATACATTGTCGATTCAAGTACCGCAATGTACTTACGATGTCTCTAACACCGTTTTTAAATACAGGATATTACATGGGCGAGGCAATGGCATTGATTAGCATAGGATATGGGCAAAATATATATTAAATAATGTCATTCAGGCTTTTCGCTGAGCACATTTTCGGCCACCCTTGTAAATCACATGGAAAAGTTGCTACTTGTACTTGTACTTGTGGGATGCTACTTGAGATGAAAAGTTAACCTAGTCGTCCTCGGATTTTGCCCTTTTGGGTGTACTCAATTTTCACCTCTAGAAGTGAGGACTACCTAAATTCTTGTCGTCAGTGGTTTTTAAGAATATATCTTTCTAAAATTATATGCTCCCTGCGATATAGTACACCCATACATAAAGTTTGTGAAGATAGGAATTATTAAGATACAAAAATGTTCATTTATTCGAATATCTAAAAGTTTATTAATGTTTCTGTCAGAGCCGGTAGGATAGTTCTCATCTAATGCAACATTTTAGGAACATTAAGGGCCCTTATCCTATGTACAACAAAATCCACAAATGCCCAATTTAAAGCAAGTCTATATAATGCGGTTAGTAAATAAACGCAGGTTTTATTCGAAAATATATGGCAAATACCTACCTTTTAGAGCCAAAATACTCATTCTCAGCAGTGATCACATTTGAAAAAAAAGAATTTCCAGTAGAATGAGTATGATGGCGAAATGTCCATTTGTCTGTCCTACAAAGTGTGACCGAGCAACAATGTTTCCCTTTTGACTTCTGCACGGATGGCAGGAAAGGCGCCAACTGGGAACCCGCATGCTATCCTGTATTATTTACGTTGATCCGCACACTCAAGGACACCAAATTCAAACTGTATAAACCACCGTGCAGGCATTGGAGAAATTTATGTTGCCTATCAGGGCTAAGCAACGAATTTCAAATGATTCAACCTGAGCCCATTCTGGGGGGTGCTGAAAAGAAAGTAATATAGGTTGACCCTGAAGGTATTTGAATTTTCAAAAAGTTTTGCGGTGGTCGGCTGACCAAATTTATATAGCGATTATGTCATCGTGATGTAGCATCAGCACGTTCTAGAACACCTGCTACAAAGTGATTCTGCCATACAGTGATTGACTGATCTCATAAAATGTTAGAAGAAATTCTGAAATGCCATTCCAATTAAGAAGGACTATTTAGGTGGGATTGCAATATTTATTATCATGCAGCCTGATCCTACGATATGTCAGACTCAAAAGGATGCCTGCTTTTGAGTGCACGCCTTTGAGACCTCCTGTATAAATAGCGCTTGGTGAAAATGACCACCTGAGTAGTATGCATTATCCACACTGATTTTCGACGTCCTAATAAATTCAAATATATTTCATGGAAAAAATGTACAAAACCGCGCTTTCCTTTGCTTATCCAGCCGCAAATCACATCTTCTCCGCAATTTATACTCGAAGAAAAAGTAAATTTCGGTTTAAAAGGGTTTCCCTTTTGAGATCGTGTGGTGTCCATTCATACGGCATTGTACTTGCCCGATTATTAATACTCCTCATGAAGCATACAACATAGTCCCCATCAGTGCAATGATTTACCGTGTTTCGTCTGGACTTTTAGCTAATACCTGTGTTGTTAGTACGGTAAATCATTGCACAGATCTATACTACTGGCTGCCTGTTGGCGGTTTGTGTATATTAAACGGTTATTCCGCAGTAGCTGATGGATTTCAGCTCAAATATTCATATCAAAATTTGCAGCGTGCCTGAAAAGGCCCGTTTCGAAAGATTTACTCCAAGTTCGCGCATTAATTTCCTCGGAAATTAAACAAGGC